ATAGTGGATGCAAGAGTTAAAAAAAGCCTACCTACAGGACCCCATGTTGCAGCAGCTGATTAGCCACTACCATCATGGAGACCTGGACCAATCTCGTTACCAACTCCGGAATGAGCTACTCTTTTACAAGGGTAGGCTACATCTTGGGTCGTTGGTGCCTTTCCAGCAGCAGATCCTACAACAATTCCACAGCAGTCCATTAGGAGGCCACACCGGAGTACAGAAAACACAAGCAAGAATCAAAAAGGAGTTTTATTGGCCTGGCCTAAGGAGTGATGTTCAGACACACATCAGAGAGTGTGATGTATGCCAAAGAAGCAAAGTTATGTTCCAACGGGGTTGCTCCAGCCTTTGCCCATTCCTGCCAAGAATTGGGAAGACATAAACATGGACTTTATTGAAGGATTACCTCTTTCAGGAGGCAAGACAATAATCTTTGTGGTAGTACACAGGTTAAGTAAATATTCTCACTTTATGCCTATTACTCACCCATACACAGCTCTAACCGTGGCCAGGTTGTTCATGGATAATGTTTTTAAATTACATGGTTTACCATTAACCATAGTAAGTGATCGAGATCCAGTGTTCACTAGCAATTTTTGGAGAGAAATGTTCAGGTTATGTGGAACACATTTGTTGCTCAATACAGTCTATCATCCTCAAACGGATGGACAAACAGAATCCATGAACAAAGTGCTCGAGTGTTACCTCAGGTGATTCTCAAGTGACCAACCAAAAGACTAGGTTAAGTGGTTACCTTTAGTTGAGTACTCTTACAATACCTCAATCCATACATCAACAAAGGTATCCCTTTTTGAAGCTGTCTATGGTCAGCCTCCTCCTCGAATGTTACCATATGAGTCGGGAGTTACCAAAGTTCAAGCTGTTGATGAAGAACTGCAGAGCCGTGAGTTCATAGCCAAACTCATCAAGGAAAACCTGCAGGAAGCACAAGCTAAAATGAAATATTTTGCTGATAAGAAAAGAAGGAGCCAAGAGTTTGAATCGGCGATTTTGTTTACCTTAGGTTAAGGCCGTACAGGCAAATGACAGTCTCGATGCGAAGGAACTTGAAGATCGCACCGAGGTATTATGGGCTGTTTAAAGTGGTTCGAAAGGTGGGTCAAGTAGCGTATGAACTAGATCTACCCCCCGAAGCCAAGATCTATCATGTATTTCATGTTTCATGCCTCAAAAGAAAGCTAGGGGAAGGAAGACAAGTTTGTGCAAACTTACCCAGTATCACGCCCGAAGGATCCATGGAACCCGAGCTTGAGAAGATCATGCAACGGAGACTAAAAAGGAAAGGAAATGTGGCCACAGTTGAAGTCTTGGTGCAGTGGAATGGTACCGGCGATGAAGATGCTACCTGGGAAGACTTAGAATCCCTAAGGAGACGCTACCCTAACCTTGAGGACAAGGTTTTCTAATAGGGGGCATCTGTTATGTACAAGGGTTCAGACCCTTGTTATTTGGTTATGGTCTGATGGGTTGAAGCTATGTCATTCCACTTTGTTTTTATTGCTTTCTATTTTCATTGATTGAGTCCTTGTAAGTGGGCCGAAAGGCTAGTGGGTAGTTATTGAGTCTTGTAGTCTGTTTTGAGTCAGTTGTTCAGTCCTTATTTACTGGGCAGTGCCCCACGTTGTGTAGTGGTCAGTTATCTCCTGGCCTATTTATGTTTGATGTTGTTCAATCAAAAGAAAAAAAAGAAAAAAGAAGTCATTTGTTCAATCTACAGAATATCAAAAAGAGCCCCGGTAACCTCAAATTACCATAAACAATTCAGTCACTGGACTACATAATTTTACAAGTATAATAGACTATGAAACTGGAAGAGATGTATTTTAAGTTAGAGAAAGACTTCAGAGTCTTAAATTAAAGGTCTCTTAGGATTGTTAGGCGTAAAAATAAAAGTTAATACTCATTGTAAATCGTTAGATTAAAATTTTTTAGATGATCTGAATTGTCTTTTATGTTGATATTATATTATCCGTTGGATGTGTTTATATTTTGTCTTAAAATGATTTGAACCTTAAATCTTCAACAACCTGCATTTATGGTAGTGCATCTGATAGTTAGAGAGAGAAAGAGATGGTTAGAGAGAGAAAGAGAGGGAGAATGATGAAATTCAAGAAACAGTCTGGCCTTAGTAATTGCATTTCATTAACTCCTCACCTATGAATTCCCTTGATGTCTTATTTTGTTCCAGTGTTATTAGAATTGGATCGGACATCGAATTGGTAGAAGGACCGGATTAATGGTTCATTGGTTCAACCGTTGAGACAACTGGTCCAACCGATCTTATAATAAAAAAATATATAAAATATACAAATGTAACTAAAAAATTTACAATCAAAATAAAAAATAAATAGTAAATCGTGTGTAATAAGTATTGTCTATTCATAGACTATTTATTCCATTCCTAAATAAATAGTTGTCTTATTCAACACACAATATTGTTATTGAGTGTGTATGTATTGTCTATATTCATAGACTCTATGTGTGCGCGCCTATAGACAAAGAGAGATAGTGAAAAAGAGAAGACCCATCTCTTACCCAACATCTCTTACCTAGCATCTTTTTACTCTATTACTGTGACTGAGTGTGTCTGCGTGGAGAGAGAAAAACAGAGAAGAAGAACTGAAGAAGTCTGGTGTTAGAGACTTTGCGATCTTGACCTTCTGGTGTTCGAAATCTAGATTTGTGGAGTCAACTCGCTTTTCGAGAGCTCGATTTGGAGAAGACGGAGAAGAGGAGGTCTGGTGTTCGAGATCTAATTTGTGGTGTCTTGTGCTGTTGTTCGAGATCGTGATCTGGAGAATACGAAGGACTGGTTTTGAACCGGCCGGTTTTTTAATTTTCGATTCACCGGTTTTTGGCTTAAACCGGCCGATTTTTCCGATTCTCCAACGGTTCGATTACCAAACAGTCTTTTTAGTAAACCAGACCATTGGCCCGGTTCACAGGTCCGACCTGCCGGTCTGATCTGGTTCTGATAACATTGCTTTGTTCATCTCACTCTTCTTCTTCCTCTGCTTCTCTGCCTTTGTCTTACACCTCTCTCTCTAAGTCAGAACAATACATTTCTCGTCCCCACATTAGTTGTCCGTACAGTGGTGTTTAGTTGAACCATTGAAGCTTAAGTTAAACCAACAACCCACCTATTCTTGGTTCAAAATATACAATATCTGTCGGGGTCTTGCTTTTCTCACCAAGTTTTTGTGGTCTTCAACCTTATATATAGTTTTCGTCATACATATAGTGGTGTGATTTATCGGGAAAACATTTTCCCTAGAAACTAGAGGTTATCTCCCAACAATGGATATATCTTTGGCTTTACTGCTGTTTACTGTAGTCACTGCCTATCTGATATGGTTCACCTTTATCTCACGGCCATTGAAGGGTCCACGAGTCTGGCCATTATTAGGTAGCTTACCGGGCTTGATTGAGAACGCCGATCGAATGTGGATTAGTTGTAGCCACCGAGTCACCCATATTCTCACCATAAGTCAACGACAAACCACCGCTTGCAATTTTTTCTCATGGTACCCTGCCCTTACCTTACCGCCCATCAAACACATTGGTGACATTCACATTTGCCATCTACAACCATACAAGAACAAAGACACACTAAAAAAAAAAAATTAGTTGCACATTAAGGTTCCCACTATTAAGTTTATTGACCAAAGAGTATAACTCCAAGTCCCATTCACAATAAGTCCAAACTATTTCAACTTAATTCCATACAGGTTCCCAAAACAAAATCATTCAGATGATATGTGATTCATATGTGATATATGAACACTCAATTTTGTACAGGAAACATCCCACGATTTTATATGAGCCTATGAGATACTGAAACCATTGAGTTACTGTCATAATTGTGTTATTTGAACAAGTTGTATTGCTTATAGTCAAAGACCCAAACTCACACATACACGAACAAGTCATAAAAAAAATTATAAGAAACCATAAAAAAAAATTAGAATCAATCCAAAAAACAACTGAGGCAACAGAGATGTATGCGGAAAAAATTGGGTTTAAGCAGCGCAGCAAATATATGCGAAAACAATTGGATGAAACCTAGATATATGCGAAGTAGCTAAGGGTTTGGTGATGAAAGAGACGAATCACACATATAGAGAAACAGAAATTGAACAAAACCCTAGATCTATGCGATTGGAGCTAAGGACTTACCTTGGTGATCTCAATAGTTTAATGCGAGAGATGTGTCGCACAGAGCGAGAGATGTGTCACAGAGAGAGAGACAGAAACGATGCAGAGAGAGCGTCACACACAGAGAGACAGATATGACGCAGAGAACTTCGGATGCAAATAAAAACAAATCCTAGAAGGCCACCATAGTCGTCCTTCTCACGAGCTTGTCAGTTTTTGGGTTCATCATCTCTCTGTCTCTCTCTCCTCCTTGTAGCTTTTGGTCACAGGTCACTAAACGGGAAGGTTTTACCTGAAATTATGGTGAGGACATGGTGGGAGATTTTGTACAGACTTGCCGACTTAAGAACTTTTTGGAAATAACACTTGTTCCCCCTTTAGCATTCTAAAATATCACTGACCCCCTACTCAGTTAAACAACTTTATTTATTTCTTTTATTTTTTTGGGAGTAAATGTTCATTAATTATTAATATCACGATCTACTTACTCTTCAATTAACAAGGATGTTGTGACAAATTTCATGGTGGATTGCAATCTTATCCTAAACATCTTATGTTTGGATCAATGTACGAGCATTTCAAGTAATTACTTCTCCGATTTTGTCAAATATAGTCTATCTATGTTAAGATTAGAGAATTTATGATAGATAAATTCTTTATAGTTTAATTTTAAGAGAATTGTCAAGTTTTAAAATTAAGATGTATGAACTTATAAAGATTGCAATGTTTCTTTTCCATTAACAAGGATGTTAATGACAAATCTCAGTGGTCTAGATGTAAAAAATCCAATATTTTAGTTCAGGAGTGTGAATAATAACTCACTTGTAACAGAAGAGGCACCTGCATTTGCAGTAGTAGTTTTAGTAACAATTTTTTAGGGGTCGACATCCAATTAACTTGACATCTTAGGTCGAAAGTGTCAATAACTATCAGACTTCCAGCATTCACTTCCTCCTCCATAAACTAAACACAGTTACCCCCAAAAGCTCTTATTCCCAGAAAAGAAAATCGTCCATGGAAGAGCCTAATAAAACTGCCGAAGCCATGCCTCAGAACCCTCCACCCCAAGATCCAGATAGTAACAAAAGGCTTCTTGACAAGGTTTCCCACTTCCAAAACTCCAGCTATTACAAGATGCGAGCTGTTGTCAAAGACCTTCGTCCCCATTTCATCGAGGTACACAAGTGAAAATATTTTCAGTAATATGCTTCATTTCATTTAGTCCTCTCTCTCTTTCTGTGTGGATGGTAATGATTTCTATTGCTATTTTTTCTTTGTAATTTAATATATGTTGTCTTGTTGTTTGATGGTTCACTATATGACATATACCCATTTCGTGTATTCGATATGTGTAGGCAATGTAAATGGGTTTTCTTGATACAATTTTCTCTGTTTGGTGGGCTTAAATGATTTTTTCTATGGGATTTTTTTTTATTATTTTGATTGCAATTTCGTTTATGGGTTTTCATTTATCATGTTGTGCGTGCTGGATCTTGCACAATATAAAAACGAGAACAAATCTCTCCCTTGGTGAACTCGAGTGAATCGATGGAGTGGTCAGCCACGTTGCTTGGAACAGCCTGTGAAATCCTGTGGTAACCTGGAACGGTAATGGGAGACCCTCGTGGATCAAAGGAACGATCCAGTAAGGCTGAAGAAAGATTCCTGGAACAAAGAAGAACAAGTTAGAAGGGCGCCGGAGTGTTTTCCGGCGTATCCTCTCCGACGGTCAAGTCAGTCTTTGAGAGAGAGAGGAAGAAGAAAACACTGAGTATGTATTGTAGCAAAGGTTTTTTGTTGCCTACCATCTTGCCTTTTGCGATGAGTATTTATACCTCAAAATCTCATGATTGCTGTCAGTGTAGTCAGTAGGTGATCATTAGGTACAGACAGTGTGCGCACTGATTCTGATGAGGAATGTCTTCTCTTTTAACTGCTCGGGATCCCGAGCAATCAATACTGTGTCATCGGTCTGCCGACTGTTCAATAAGCTCCCCTCGGGGAGGATGCAATAAATGTCCAGCCTTAGAGGCATTTATTGCCTTTCACTTCTGAGCCTTACCGCATTGAATGCAGTCTCATCAAGGGAATGACGTAATTAAATGCTTGCTTTCCCAAGTCGCGTGTCAGCAAGGTCATGCGGTCTTTCTGTCTCTGATGTGACACAATATGTCACGCGTCCATTCCTCATTGGCTGTGGCCCCTGCCTTCCTGTGCCTTCTGACATCGATTGTATAAGAGGAGGTCATGATAGCTAACCTAGCCTAGCTTAGGCTAGTGACCAGTGCATCAATAGCCTCTGCTGGAGCAGAGAACTTCCTCCTGGATCAGAGGAGTACATCTTGGTATCGAGGGAGAGGTACATCTCAGAGCCGAGGAAGAGGTACATCTCGGAACCGAGGAATAGGTACATCTTGAATCCGAGAGGGGGAGGCCTAGCGACCGATGTACCATATCAGACCGAGGGTACGTGTCGGTACACAAAAACGTACTGGATGCCACTCGATCCCATGATAAGTACCTCGGGGTAGAGGGGACTTGTGACCCGATGGGTACGAGATCTTGATAACAAGGATCAGTGACACCGAGGACACGTGTCTTCATCTTTGAGTATTTCGGAAATGTCCCATCACATGTGTTTGCTGTATCGTTGCTTGGAGTATTTTATATGTCAGCAGTATAAAAAAGATTCCATTTTTAGGGTTCTTCTATGATGCATCCTATAGCCTTAAGGGAGGCATTGGCAATGTCACAATATTAAGGGTTTGATATGTTGAGATTATGTTGGCCAAAAGCAACCATGTGTATCTATCTGTGGTTTAAGTTATCAAGCCACGTGTCTGAATTTTATAATTTCTTTTGGTGGGGGTGGGGTTGGGGTTGTAGTTGTAGGGGGCGGCTTTTTTTGTACTTGTAAGAAATGACAGTGTGCATCAAGTTATCTGAAGGCATCCGCGAGTCATGTGATATTGCAAAGATGTGGCCTTTTGAACATTAATGGTAACCTTGAATAATCCCACTTGAGAATCATGCCATAGAAGTTAATCAGGTATCTGTAGACATCCCTTATATGGTCATATGAAACAACTGTCTCAGCATGTCAATCAATGATAAGAGGAATCAGTTACTGCCGAGAAGGGCACTACCAGTCTCACGAGCACTTCATTTTTGGTGACTTTTTTATTTTTTTTCAATTGCTTGTCTTTATAGTTCTAAGTTGCAGTTTATGTTCAATTATTTCTTTCCATTCAGCATGTTTAGTTTCCTGTATTAACTTGTCTTTAGATACACATTATTGTAGTATTGGTTTTATGTGTGCAAGTGGCTGGCAAAATCTCTTGTACTTGAGTTGATGAATTTAGTGGGGACAATTTCTTCTTGTTCCAATAAGAGTCAGAAGGTTATCAATAATATAGTAAAGTAGTATATTAAAGAGAAGATTCTTAAGTCCTCAAACACAAAGCAGTTACAGCCTCCAGGAAGGAGTAATCTTACTTCTCAACAGCGTCTGATATTGTCATGGGCCAACTCAGCTGCAACAGTGGTAATTTGGTTCATTATCTGAGTCTAAATGGACTATAGGAGTTGGTGTTCAGGAAAAGAGTCGAACACAATGCCTCTAACTCTATAATCTTTGGGAGTGGGAGGATGAGAAAAAATAATAAAGCAAACAAATTCTAGCAACATGCATGATTGCTATAAATTTCATGCTGCTCTCATTTAAGTACTTCATTATATTGGAATTCTTAGTATGAAACCCCTGAAATTTCTCCTTTTGTCTTGAAGGTTCTCCGGGCTCCTGACTTTCAGAATTGCAACGCGGCTAGTGAAATTAAAGAAAGTAAGCTTTTTTTGAGATGTATTTAGTCCTTCACATAGTCAATTAGGTAATTTTTTTCATTGCCTATGGTCTCCTCAGATCAGGTTTATCTTGCTCAAGCTTCAATTTTTCATTGGTATGATTAGTTATGGATTCACGTGTCCTGAACTTGAGAATGGTGTTGTTCTCACTATTTACTTTTAGCTGTGTTGGGAGCCTGAAAATAATTGTGCAGGCGACAACTTTTTGTCCACCAAATTTTATTTTCTTATGCCATCATACTGAACATCTCACATCTGTTTTCACTTTTCAGTATTGGCCTCCCTGATACAGATATAATGTTTAAAACTGGATCTTCAACTGGTTCAAAAGTCTTTTGATTCCATAGCTCACCAACAAACTGAAAACAGACTGAAAGATGGGGTGTACGTGATTGGCATTCTTTGATAGTATTCGAATTAAGTCTCTATTAAGTGACTTTTTCTGATATCCACTTTTCATCATGCTTGGGGCACAACAAGCCTAGTTCTACTTGACTTTATGGTTTGATGAATCAAGACTTCTTCTTAGAATTGATCCCTTTGAACTTTTTGAACCTTGTTCAGGAGCTTTGAAATGCATCTCACAACTATCTTATATGTTAGCATCCTTGGTTTTTGTTTCTCGGTTATCACAGTTTCGATTATAACATGTAGAAGGGAAGATTAGGGTCAATCAGCTCAAGGATCTCTGCAATCTTGATGTTAAGAGTGTGGTCAAATTTGTTCAGCTGGTATATCTGCTCGAGATTTCGACAGCTTTGGGTCAACCCAAATTCTCTGACCAGATGCCAATTCTGAAGTGAGCATTTTAACCATCAGAAGTCAAATTTGAGATATGTTCAGCGTGGTTGGCTTGTCACCAACTGCTTTCTATATGTTTGACAACTTTTTATACTGATCTTTTGATGGCATTAATGCAAGTATCCTCTGATAAGACACCATTAGTCTCGCACACTTACTAGAAACATTGATTTATGCATCATATCAATCTGTATCCTCCATCATAAGGAGCAATTAGTCTCCCACGACTTAGAATCGTGGTTTTAAAGCAATGGCGATGAACTTTGAGTTTATTCGTATCTTATCTGTGCCATTTTGGAACACTGTTGACTTGTTGCCAGGTTTCCAGGATATGATGGAGCTGGGTACATGATTTTACCATTTATTGCTAATTTACCAGGCATGATGAATACTAAATTATTCTTATGCCTCTGTCAACTGTAACTTGCAGAAACAAAGTTTCTGATGGATCTATACAAAGAGATGACAGCAGAACCGGTTACCATAGAGAAGTGTAAGAATGCGCCAGAAGGCCAGCCTTTGTCTGGTGAAATCGAGGATGGACAAAAGCCTGGAGAGCAGCATCAACATGTTAAATCTATAGATCAGCCTCCATCAGTCAGGGTAGATAAGCCTGTCCTTTCTACAAACATCGCCAAAAAGCAGAGGTGTGAAGATGTTCGGATGCAGGGAACGTATATTGTTGGAGGATCAGCTTTTGGTTGGAATTTCATAACTTACCCTGGCACTAAAGCAGTCTATTATTGTAGAACAAAGGAGTCGTTCCGGTCTCCAAATGTAATTCCTCTTGAAAGCGTTGTATAGAAGATCACTGGGAAGTCGCATCCATCCCTTCGCAAGCATTTACAATGTCATGATCACATTGGTTACCCTTTTTTCTTTTGTAGTTTAATGGATGATCGCGCCTCCAACTTTAGGAAGCAAGTCTAGAGACTCGAGAAGACAGACGAGCAATCTCTCTCCACAAAGTTCCTGGCAAGCAGAATGTTTTGAAGGTCCCCCTCATACCAGTTCTATGACCTGACTCAGTAGTTCACTGGTTTCACCAGTTCAAACCTCGTTAGGCCCTTCACCCACACATCAATTTCCAAGCAGGCTTTCAAGACGAGTTCTGTTCTTTCCTTGCAGCTACTTTTATGATGTTAGTTGGCACTTAAATTTGTTTCTTGAATGATTTTTCCAAGTCTGTGGAACCCTTGCTTAACCCTTGATTTTTTTTCAATCAATTTGTTAAACCGTTCTTGGAAATCATCATGCGATGACTTTCAAAGTGATCAGATGTAACTATTGATAGATCACTGACTTTAATACCAATTGATACGTGCACATTTTTTGAAAAAATAGAAACCCACTTTGAGGAAGGTGCAATGCTATGATTGGATTTGGTGGTTCAATTTGAGAAAAACTTGGCCTTCAAAAATTTCACATGAAAGTTCATTACAAATTCAACATACCAATTTTATTGGTTATGAGGTCTTTAAATACATAAGGAAAGTAATCAACACAACTTATAACTCAACTATCTAAACAACTATTTATTAAAAAAAAAATTGTGCAAAAAATTATTAAAAAATAGAAAATTACAATTTAATTGATTAAAATAAAAGTACGTATTGTCTAAAGTCTAAAAAAGGTGATGGCGTCGAATTCAGATTCTCCTATGATTTATTATAAATTTTTTGAATTCTTTACTAAAATGAAAAAAATAAGCATATTTCTCCATGTAATTAACCATAAGATCACAACCAGGGAATTAATTATTTTAGAATTTTTTTTTATTCAACAGTCAAGAGTGTCTGGGTCAATTTATGTATACAGCGACTAATCTTCTCTCCTATTTGATCACAGATAGGTCATTCATGCCAGGACTAGGGTGTTCACAAGGGATGCCTGACCCCCAATAAATTATTAAGATTCAAATTCAAGACATCTGAATTTACAACTCGTCTCAATTATCACTTAAAGTCTTCCTTGTAGTTCAAAAATTCTTATGACAAAGAGTGTAACTATCACATTTCTTATCCATCCATGTCAGATTATCAAATTGAACAACGTTAACAAAATAGAATCAAGCTACGTCCAAGCAAATCTTTCCCACTCAATTGTGATTCTCTATGAAAATAAATATTAAGGCCTTTGAAGAAAGATAAACGAGGTCAAAGTTAAAAAATACAGAATTACGGGGAGTCCAAAACAAAAATCTGAAATATAGGGGCCGCCTCGAAAGTTATTTCAAACGTTAACCATCAGCGCTAGGGTTTAAGTCTCCGGAGATTGAAACGCAACCAAGGAAGAAGAAAGTAAAAACCAAAGAGTTGGCGGCGATAGAGTGCGAGAAATGTCGAAGAAGAACGATTTGGGTCGCCGGAAAAGACAACACGAATTCGAGCTACAACGTAAAACTCACTATTAAACCAACCCTTTCTACCTGAAATTCATAGAATTATTCATATTATTGATTTGTTGATTCAGTTTATTTTTGATCTTTTGGGGAAAATTAGGTGAGAAGCAAGAGAAACAAAAGAAGGAAAAGAAGCTACAGATGAAGAAGAACAAGATGAAAGTAATTCTCTATCTCTCGATCTTTTTTTTTTTTTTTGTGTGTGTGTTGGGTTTATTTGTTTTGATTTTAGGATTTTTTGGGGTAATTTAGGTGCAGATAAGTTGCGTTTTATCATCTAATTTTGTTTTATCCTGAAAACTGCATGTTGATTTCATAGAACTCTTCGAGGTTTACTGGACCATTGCTATATATTTTTGTGCTACGGGACAACTTGGATAATTCATGTAGTTCATCTGTCTCATAGTATAAAATTAATGATTGAAGCAAGAACTATGTTGATTTTTGAGTGTGAAAAAATGAGGGAATAGTTTTTCACTGTAATGTTTTGTTGCAAGTTTGAGTCACTTTCCAACGTTGTTCCTTATGCTGTGTTTGGGCAATTGTGTGATAAGGTGGATCATAATGACAAGAAGAAGAAGAAGGGTGTGAGCGGTTTTGCAGTGGGGAAGAGAAAGTTGAAGACCAAAGTGACGCCATTGGCTAAAGCTAAAGCTGCCCAGGCAATGGAGGTTGACAAATGAGGTTCTACAGGTCTACTTGCTTCAAATTAGGTGTATGCTGAGAATACTTATGAAGGTCCAATAGTTTACCTTTGGGTTTGCATTGTTTGCTCAAACATATACTATGTCATTTAGAAAAGAGGAGTTTTTGTTTTCTCTATTCTTCCGTATCAATTTTTTGGTTTCATATCCAATATCTATCATGAGACCCAATATTTGTCATGGGACTAATTTGTTCTATCATCCCGGTATGTGGATCATGCGATTATATAATGTTATGGTACCAGATCAGGTGCTTGTGGTTGGTACTAATAGCCTATAGACTATAGACGGCCATAAGGCACATAACTACTGCCTATTTTTTTTTTTTTAATTAGTATAGGTTGATGCTGCAAATTGATTTTCTGTCTGAAGAGTCATCACATGGCCAAATATGTCGCATGTGGTCATGACTTGCCAAGTCTTTTAAAGCGAGAGAAGTGGTGGGGATGGGCGGCGAGAGAGAGGAGGGGGGGTGGGTGCTTAAGGAGATTGTGGTTTGGTGAATGATGGGGAAGTGCTAGCTATGGGGGTGATGGTCGGTGAGAATTGGTGACCACAGACAGCTGTAGTTGGGCATGCGTAATGTGGCCATTTGGACCAAAATACCCCGATCTAGACCAATTGTCTATAATCCCTGTATAGTTCATGTATTGATAAGTATGAGAGAAATAGTTCTTTGGATATGGGTCACCGTCCTATTGGAGCCTCCAATAAGTACAGGCCAAACGTATGGGCTTGCCTACATGTACCTTTTTTGTTTCAAAGAGGTTGGACTATTATTTACACCAACCAAGAAGAGGTTTTTCTCTTCCTCCTCTTCGCCCCCTCCTGCTCCTCTTTCCACATTGTCTGTCTCTGATTCCTTCCGACATGGCACACCCATTAAATCCTGGTACCAACAACGTGTATTGTGTTCCCAAACAACTGGACTGATGTTTGACGACGGTGAGTGGTCAAGTTGGAGGTGCCTCGGTTATCTTTGCTGGTGGTGCAGTTGTATTATAGAGGATCAGTGGAGGCAAATGATGAAAACTTGTCTAGGAATGAGAAAATTCTTATTCAGCATTGTTGATATAACTAATATTGATGTTCCACTCTATCTGTTTTTAGTTTTGGCAACCTCTCTTTGATGATCTCAAGACCCCCTGATATTCTTTACATACTTTCATTCATGTGGCTTGGGCTTGGATCTGTTACTGTCTGTGGGAATCTTATCTAGTAAGTGGAAATATGATTCTCAACTTACTTTCCCGTCCTTTGCTTCTTCCCTGTCTAGAAAATGCGCAAGGAATAAATCAGTTAACTTTGTTAGTTCAGTGGCTTGGATTTATTAGGTTTATGAACACAGTGTAGGTGACTTAAGAAAGGGGAAATGGGAATTTGGATTGAGGCACAGATTAATTATTAGTAACTTGGTAAAGGAAGCAGCTGCAATGATTTTGCTTAACTGTCATATATGTGTCAATTTTGCATAGTATGAGTTTTTTTTCTTTCCGGAAACTACATAGTATATGAGCAAATTTTGCTGACTGTATGAGCATTGTAAAAACCAATGTTGCTTTGTTTTCTGCAGTCCTTCAAGATATTCGACCATCTGACTGGCAATTATGCATCGGGATTCATTGGTTAAACAGGTGAACGAAATCTGTTTAACGCCTACTCCCCTTAAATTATTGAGTTCACATCACACGACGATAGAAGGAAATAGCATTTGAGCGCAACAGATGTTGGTGTGTGGAGAGCCAAAAAAACAACCTCAGTGGTTGGGATTGGGGTTTCTTGAGCTATAGTGTAAATCTAAGTGTGTGCATTGATTAATGGATTTGTGCTTCATTAGGAATTCTCACATAGTTACACTTTGTCTTCCTTGACCATGAATTAGATTATAACAAAATTAGAGAAACATAAATCATAAGCTTGTGGGTGTGGGAAAAAAATTGATGTGGTAGTGTAGGTGGGAATGTTCTCACAATATCATCCAAACACCATCAACATCTCTTTTAAAATCATTTATATTACACCATGCCTTTAAACATGTGTTACTCCTAGTGTGATGAAATAACAAAGGTTTTGGATAGTTTTGTGGCTGCTCGGTTGCTGTGGGATTTGCAGGGTGGTGCTGTACAAAAATCATACGTATGAATATCATTACATAATAGAAGTCAATTTATGTAGGGTGTTGAGCAAATGTAGAATGGAGATAGGATTGTGTCCGGTACACAAGGGGGGTGATTGGGAAAAAATTGTCCGGGGTCTCACATAACCCATGTTTGGTTATTTTAAAGGAAAGAGAATTAGGCAATTTGGGCTAATTCTGACTCAATATAAATAATAGATTTTACCCCACGTGTGGGGTGCCGAATGTGAAAGATGAGATTTGTGGGTAAAAAAATTATTCTTTTATTCACCTAATAATGAATACTTTATTCAATTCAGAAATATGATTGACATAATTCATGGAATTTACATGTAATTTTGTCACTTACTAAACATAAGATTGAATAAGATTTATTGTTTGAATCTCATGAACAAATCATTAAGATTGGATTTAGTATTATTATTATTATTATTTAATATCTAACATTCATCTTATTTCAAGCCGTTGGAGCACTTTGCAATCAAATTAACCAATGTTTATTTTTTTTGATAGAATGATGCTTTCTTTTTTAGAAAATAAATCTAGAGTACTTGCGAAAAAAAAATGAATAATAAAAATACACTTCAAACAGTTTAAGGATAAATTAATAACCCCCTTAAAATCTAAATATATAATGAATTATAATACAAACAAAAATATGAGGCTGATAACCGGATAACGGGATAAGTAACACAAACAGATACACAGAGAGAGACAGAGCGCTACCCAGTCTAGGAAAAGGGTCCCCCCACAAACCTGTTCTTCCACTGAGGTCACCTCAATTGTCGTCCCCTTGTCTTCAATCTTTTAGATCCCCACGCTCTTCGGAGGAGCGTGAAGCTTAGTGTTTTTTTTTGTTTAAAACATAACTAAGGTTTTTTTCAGAGTTGTGTAGCATTTAATCGGGTGAACATGGTATGTCAGCCGGTAGGGGCGTTAATTTTTGACATGAACACGAATCCGATTTTGATTTGAATCGAATTCGACACGAACTTAATAATAACATGATTAGTTGACACAAGTATTATATTGTTCAAATTAAGGTTCGATACGAATAATAAGATTAATGAGTACGGTAGATAAAAAATAATTATTTAATGAGTATTGTAGGTAGAAAATAAGAATTTTATAATTTTTTAAATAATATTATAATAGTTGTTATCAAATTAAATAATTTTTTATTAATACGAATATTGAGACGAACCCGACATATATTAAAAGTGATACGACACAAAAATATTACGATCGAAACTGATACGACACCATTGACACCCAGTCAACCCATGCCCATAAAAAGAAAGAGTAGCCAACCTACCACCGAGTAGTGGGCAAGAATTCAAAGTTTTTTATTTAATGTTTGAGTTTGAATTGAATCGCTATAATTACGATAATTTAACGAAGGTTAAACATATTCTTCAACCTTTGGAGCATGATGTGGGACCATAATGGGCCGTTCATGAGCAATCAATGGCATGGCATGGCATGTTTAACGGGGTACCAAATTTTTCGACAATCACAACCTCCTCTCGACCTTACTAATTGAGGTGATAAATGGTAAAGGGAGCTCAAAATAGCTATTGGATGTGTAGTTATAAGGTCTATGCTACCTACCAAAAAAATTCAAACTTAAGACAAGTTTGATTGTTTAATCTACTCACCCCTTAATCCATCGAGTTCAACGTATGTCCGTTAATTTTGTATCGATTTTGCTTTAACTTATGAATTATACAAAAAATTGTTAAACCTGCAATCTTTAATCTGTGAACTGGGGTCTAAAGATCCAATAACAAACATTACATGACTCTCTTGTCTTCCCTCCTAATTTTTTTTTATCACCAAGCCTAATTGACTAGAACTGTTTTACGACTTCTCACTTTGTTTCGTTCTTCTTATTGAAACACATCTATCGGCCATTTATATAATATAATAAAAAATAATATTTTTAAAAAAAAGTTACATTACTTACATGTGCATGTGGGATTGACTTTTGGAAGTAATTTTTTATTGAGTTAAATATATATATAATCTTTAAATTATGACTCTCTTGTCAATTAAACTTCTCAATTATTTTTATGACAATCGAACATTTGAACTTTCTAATTATATCAATTGAGTTATTCTGTTTACTTTTGTTAAAGTGTGTCATTCACGTGACCATATAACACAAAAAGACAGAAGAGTTTAATTGACACAATTAGAAAGTTCAGAAGCTCAATTGATAAAAAAAAAGTTCATAGACTTAATTGTACAAAAGTTATAGTTTAAGGACTATATGTATAATTTATTATAACTCATTTGTATCACGTGAGTAACACACCTTGTCGCTTTTGTTAAGAGATCTAATGGAGACCGATAAAAGGATCCCATTGACACAATTAGAGAATTTAGGAGTTCATTTAACAAAAAAAAAAGTTTAGAGACTTATTTGACACAAATGTAGGGTTATATATATAATTTACTCTTTTTTATTTTATTTTACGCAAATTCTTCTTAAACAATAAATATCATCATTATCCACGAAGCGCACTTTTTCTGTTCGAGTTTTGTTTGTTTCTCTAATATATCTTCCACCTCTGAATCATAGTAAATCGAACTCTGATCACTCGTCGCCCATCACAAACAATCGGACAAAGGGGTGTGTGTGAGAGAGAGAGAGAATTGCATTTTGAGACATGGAAGTGTAACAGAGTTGTAGTTCACCAATGGCTTCTTGTGTGCATCACTGCTCCGAGTCATAATTTTCGTCACCCATCGTAAAAAACTTTGTACTCTTCTTTTGAGCCTCTAAATTCAAACCCACATACCCATTTTTTCTTCCTTTCTGTCTGTCTGGTCTCAAACTTTGCTCTTTTTCTCTCACTTTTTCTGGGTACTTTGTTGAAAAATCACACTTTTTTTTTTTATTCTTGATGCAATGTCGTTGATTTGAAGAGCTTTTTTTTTTTTGGTTGGGTTTCAGCTGTTTTATTGAAAGGGTCCATGGGTGGTTTCTGGTTTGTGGATTTGCTTGAAGGAAGATGCTTGGTGTTCAAGGTTTGTTAGTATGGTTTGGTGAGAGTGGACCAGGCAACTGAACTGCTCAGTCTCTATTTTCTTTACTCTTCAAAATGAAGCCTTTTTTCTGCCTAGAGTTTGGTAAGCTGTGAAACTATCTGAAATTTTATGCTTTTTCTATAATCCTTCCTTCTCTGATTTGGATAGTTCTTGGGATTTGCTTTGATTTTATTGTTCTCTGTGACTATATTTATTTATCTATTTACTGTCTTTGGGTTGATCTCTTTCTTTACTTTCATGTTTCTCAGTATAGTTTAACATTAGGGCCTTCCTTTTTCCTTATCCTACAAGGGTTTTTTTTTTTTTTTTTTAAAAATTACTGGAACTTGACTTTAAGTTCTTCTCTTTCTAGTTTTTCTTATAATTCAAACTTTCGAATATTATCCCATGTGATGATTTAATGGAGCTTTGCCTTGTCTTATGAGTGTGTGTTGAGGGACTTAGTAATCGATTGGCTGAAGTGTTAATCCTTCTGGAGCATTATTGAATTAAAATGGTTTCTTTTGTTCATTGTGAGTTTTTGTAACACTTCAAATTCAACAACATTGTAAAACCCTCTTCACTGCTCAAAACTCGAGATATCGTTCTGTGTTGAGGGTGGTATTGTAAGGAACATCAGATTGTTATAGAGCAGAGGGAACATATCAAAATTTGTTGGAGGACTTATACAATTGAATAGGAGGCTTTAGACAAACTTGGTCTGGAGTGAATTTTGGTAGAAGTGAATACAAAGTAAATGTATGGATCGGAGGGAAGCTATGGCATTACGTGGATCAGCTTCCTATTATGTGCAGAGAGGGATGCCTGGATTACAACAAAGTGCACAATTTGAATCAAATTTTGGGGGCAGCTCAACTGTCTCAACATTACCAGCTGAGCCTTCATTGACAATTCCACCTCATAGAGTTAATGTTGGTGCACCATCTGCTGTGCCACCGGGTGGGCCTGTGCGAAGAAAGAGGGGAAGGCCTCGCAAATATGGACATGATGGAACAGTGGCATTGGGATTTGGTCCATCTTCAGCTATACCTCCGGTGAAGTTAACACCAATTCAGAAGCGGGGTCGGGGGCGGCCACCAGGGACTGGGAGAAAGCAACAATTAGCTTCTGTTGGTAAGTATTCTTGATGATTTTGTCTTTTTAGTCACATTTGGATTAATGATGATGGATGGTGTCCTACTTATGCTTTCAGTCAATTTCCTAAAGCTTAGTACATAAGATTATTTTTACCAAATTCTCGATTACCATTATAGTGATATACGAAAAAATCATGTATTTGATATAGATTGGTTGTGACTAGACTAGTGTTTATTCAGAATGTATGATATCACAGCGGCGCTATTTCTCGTTCTCTTGCACCCTATTCCACATTCTATACTCGTAATCTGACAAATTGACATGTTTGTTTACTTGTCCTAATTTCTTTCTAGCTCCCAAACACTATTCTGTGTAAGTAGATTATGTGAATTCTATTTTGTTTATCCTGTAGCAATTTGAATGATGTTGTCATTGGTTGATTGTTTTGCTAGGTCAATGGCTGTCTGGTTCGGCTGGGATGGGTTTTACTGCACATATCATTACTATTGCTGTGGGAGAAGTATGTGCACCTTATCATTCTTTTCGGTTCTTTCCTCTTTATGATCCAGTTGTCAAAAAACCACAAGTTACCAGATAGGTTACCTCAGTCACTAGTTACCAGAGATGACACTCTAGTGCAGAAAATAGCATTTATACGAATTCTCATAACATGGAGAGGCAACATTTTTTATTTAGGTGATTTGGCTTAAATCAGCTTAAATAGTAGTGGAAGCTATTGTATATTATTGGGTGAAATGACCCTTTGAAAGTTGAGCAGAGCAAAATGATGATATTGATTTAGAAAGATTGAGAATGAATGCAACAAGATCAAGGACTTAGGTATTGACTGATGTGGTCTTTGCTTGATGTGTGATATACCGGTGGTAGGAACCTAAAATCAGTAGGAAGTCAACAACGGTTTATGTCTATATAGGGAAGATGGTAACGAAAGCTATTGAAAATGATGAAATCCAGTGGGAGAAAAGGAAAAAGAAGATGATAGTGGGATTTGTAAAAAAGGAAAGATTAGGCTTGACTTGGCCTAGTCAGGTTTTTGTATGTTCTGGAGAGTGGTATAGTTTTTGTCTCTCCAAAGTGGGATATAATTTTGAATTCTCTCAACTTTTTTTTTTCCATTTTCCAGGATGTTCTTATCTTTGCCCAGTCTTAGGCTCATAAAGGGCTTTTAAGTTTTAAAAATTCTTGGAATTTGACATTTATTCTCTCTCACAAAGATATTGATGTTTCTTGTTGAATCCATTCTTGAGGGAGTTTTGAAGGATGCTGATTGGTCTTTCGACATTTCTTATGGTACTTTACATTTTTTGACATCGGTTGTTATTTTGGCTTTTGCTGCAGGACATCACAACAAAGATAATGTCATTCTCACAGCAAGGTCCTAGAGCTATATGTGTCCTGTCAGCCAATGGGGCCATCTCCACTGTGACTCTTCGTCAGCCATCAACTTCTGGCGGCACAGTCACATATGAGGTTTGGACACTTACGTTATTATTATCCTTTGCTGTCACTTGAGGTTTTGCTAAAAAGTTGCTCTTTTTTCTATTATCATATCTAATATCTTGTTTAGATATTGGCTATAATTTTTGGGACTACCATTTTTGACATATGAGCTTTGGTTCATGTTGAAACTTTTGTTTTGCTTTGCATCTGAGAGCCATACTTTTTCTGGTGCACCTTATACTTCTGTAGGGGCATTTTGAGATATTGTGTCTGTCAGGCTCTTATTTGCCCACTGATAATGGTGGCCCCCATGGCCGAACTGGTGGTCTTACTGTCTCCCTGGCGAGTCCTGATGGCTGTGTCATTGGTGGTGGTGTTGGGGGAGTGCTAATAGCAGCTAGCCTTGTTCAGGTAACTTCCTATGAATTGCTGTAGCATTTTAACTACTGGCTGTTCCTTATCGTAATTCTCATACCTCAGAATTGCCATTTCGTTTCTATAGAAGTGGAGGATTTAAGTACTTAGGAAATGTTTTTGCAAAGTTGTCCCATTTCCACAACTTCTCTGTACAAGGCCTTGCCTTTAATGCCTTCATCTAGACTAGGGAAAGACTAAAAACAATACCAAAAAGAAACGAAGTTTTAATTTCAGTAGGATAATGTTTGTTTATGATGTAAACCTTGGACGGTTAGCCAGCACAAGCAGATTCAATAGAGTACATAATGAAGTTTTCTTTCTGAGCCCAAGTGGATGATGAATGCTTCAGGTGATAGTGGGGAGCTTCTTGTACTGTAGTTCAAAGAAAAAGAACAAGACTGGGGAAACACTGGAAAGTGGTGGAGATTCAGACCGTCAAACAGTTGACAATCCTGTCACTCCAGGTAGTGTTCAGCCAGATCAGAATCTTACTTCAACCTCTTCGATGGCTGTTTGGCCCGGTTCACTGTCAATGAATGTGCAAAATATTCATGCTGACTTTGATTTGATGGATGGGTGACCCTTTCCAGCAGTAGATTGATAGGTGATGTTTATATTTGCTGTTTGAGAGCCACTCGAATCTTCTTTCTTCCATAACCGAAAAAAGGAAAAATGTCATACTGTTGTTTGATTTCAATTGATCTTACTGCATACACTCATTGTAGGCAATTGGCGTTGTACAAATGTGTTTAGAGCTTGATGGAAATGTAGTTCTTGTTTAGTCCTATGTGTTCCTTTAATTTAAGTTCAATGAGTATTGTCTCTTCAAGGTGAATCAGTAAACACAGAACAGAGGTGTTCTTGTTATTTAAATAAGCAGTAATAGTTCCGACCCAACTCAGCATAATGTCTGATGGAAAGACAGTGATGCATTTCTTTTCAGCAGTAATCTGGAATGTCATTTTGAAGAAATCGGGTAATTGCAACACCTCAGGATGGAAGCGGTTGTTTATAGCTTATGATGGAACCTCTGTCGATGCATCAACTTCTGTTGATGCCTCTGTTGATGCATCCACTAGACAACTTCATAGGACTACCCTGGATCTTTCATGTCTCCTAATACCTTGCTGCTAGAGGCTTCAAACGCATTGGTTGGCTATGTTGATTCATCAAGCTTTCCTGCTCCAAATGCATTTGATATCTGAGAAGGATATGGAGTGTTACTGCAGTGTTTGATATCTGAGAAGGATATGGACAAGGCCCCCATTAAGCTTTAAGCAAGTTGGTTGGGTTTCCTTTAGAAAGTTTCAGAAAAAGAAAAATACAAGCATCTTGAACTTTCTGAAGTTGCCCCAGAAATTGAGCTACATGCAGTAACGAAGTACCAATCATTTTTGTTTTTGAAAAACCTAGAAAAAAGTGGCAGCAAGTAGTTCTCTTCTTCCTAGAGTTAGAAGTAGCCTCTAAAAGTAAATGACAGGTAGTGGTGGACTAGAAGATCTGTAAAATAAAGGATGCATGAGTGGTTTTACATTGAAATTGAATGGTATGTATAATTTCAGAAGTTCCTAGAATGGGTTTGCTATGTTAGTGGTTTGTCATGGAGGATAGCATTCAAACCGAGAAATTTTTTTCAACACTCATACCATAAGAATTCATTACAAGACTGAAGTAGACACAGGGTAGTACATAGTGTACACAGTTTGATGTTAGAGACATAATCTAGAGGTAAATACATTACAGAACTTTTAGCTAGGCATCGGACCAAGTGATATCCAACTCGCCCCACTCATCTTCAGGCACTCCTAAGGTTTTCCACACAGCCTTTTGAGGCATCAACGATGTTATTAGGACATGGAGGCTGTTAATCATGGTCTTCGTCACATCCCATAGTGGAGTCACACTGGTCAACAATCATGGCGTTCACACTCTGCCCAGCCCATTACCACTTACCGTAATGTTGTTATGGAACCTGCTCCCTCTGTAGTACCATCCAGTTGATAATGCCACAACCGGTTTGTCATCAGAGTGGTATTTGTGGTCACACTCTGATGGCCCACCTCCATCTGCACCCTTTTGGAAACTGTTTAATGTGAGAACTGCCTTAGTTTGGCCAGAAACCACAGGTGAATATTTGTATATGGTGTAGAGCTTGCCTTGAACACAACAATCAGAGTTATTCTCCAGGTTGCATTGTCCTTGAGGTGGATTCCATACAAAGTTGCCGTAATTTCATATAAATCGAAAGACAGGAATCTTTAGTGGCAATTTACTCTATAATAGTTTGCTACTGATCTGGTTTCCTCTCACAAGAATCTTTAGAAGCATCTAAATTACAGCAGAAGAGCAGAAAATAAAGATGCAGGCTCGTTCAAGTTTCTCTCTTCTCATTTTCTTTCTTCTTCTTCTTACCATTATTTCGAGCATTGAAGGTCAGTCCTGCAAGCCTAGTGGCAAGTTAAAGGGTAAAAAACGCCTCCAAAGCAATGCAACAAGGAGAGCCAATCCGAGTGCTGTGAAGAAGGTAAGTATTATGACACTTACAAGTGCTCACCACGCGTGTTTGGTTGTACAAAGGCAGTCTTGACACTCAATAGCTTTGAGAAGAATGGTGACGGTGGTGGACCATCAAAATGTGACAATAAGTTCCACTCAGATGACACACCTGTGGTGGCACTGTCCACAGGTTGGTTCAATAAGCAACAGAGGTGCTTGAAGAACATTACTATTTATGGTAATGGCTGGAGTGTAAAGGCCATGGTGGTTGATGAATGTGACTCCACGATGGGGTGTGATGCAGACCACGATTACCAGCCTCCATGTGATAACAATATTGTCGACGCCGCTGAGGCTGTTTGGAAGGCTCTGGGAGTGCCAAAACATGACCAGGGTGAGTTGGGCATATATTGGTCTGATCCTTGATTTCCATGAGGCTTAGAAACGCGTGATCTGAAATAATGTAGCAGTGTTTATGTTTGTTGTCACTGCTAGTTCCATTTTAGTGTTGAAAATAGAAAGCTGTGGCTTTCTCCCCTTTTTACCTAAATTCCAGAAACTGTTCCTGAAATCCTGTGATAGTTCCATTTATTATTGATATAAGTACTGGTTCTGCTTGTTTTTCTTGCCCTTTTCATTCTAAATCTTTTAGACTATCAAGTAGAATTTATCATGTGCCTTGGCCTAATGATAAAAAAGGTACCATAAGAACAGGGTGCCAAGACTCGAACCGACAACAAGAAAAAGGAAAAATTGAATTAATCATACCTCCGAATTAACAACAGATGAAGAGATAGTATGTACTTCCAAATGTGGAGGATCCAAGTTCGAGTGGACCAGAATGGGGACTCCACTAGAAAATAATCCTATTAAGTGCCCAATGCATGTTGAACATCGGACTAACAAAAGATTAACAGGATACTCAAAGAGGATTCGAATGAAGTCATCACTATGTAGGTTGCTTGAGGTATTTCTGAAATTCAAAAGCTGTTCAGCTTTAACTACTTGCCAGTGTAACTTCTAAAACAGTCCAGTTTTCCTTATTAGCGCACACAACATTTAGCCAAATCATAAAATCTTGCTCTGCAGCAAGAATGAATCATCAACTGACATCAGTACACAAATAGGTCGGGAATATAGAACGCTCGTGGTGGATTCAACAGCCCGTATAATATATGTGAGTAAATCACTGGGAGAATCCCAAACTCATAGAAACATCGATAAAAGAATGCTATTATTAGATTATACCAAACCTACATTCTTTCAGCCAAGTTATAGATTAACAAACTGTTGCCCACAGATAACAGATGCAGTTATAATCCTGAAGAGCCAATTGTCACAGTAGTCAACAAAGCCAGACTTAATATATATAGACCTTACCTTACAGCTTACAGCTTACAGCATTTCATATCTCTGTACAGACCATGGCAAAATAAATATACAGCAAAATACACAGAAACTGCTGAACAAAAGCACATTTTGACAAATCACAGACAAAACTTTGTGAGAAAAGCTGGATACCTTACAACATAATATCAGTTCTTGCTGGCAGCCGACGGAAGAAATTGAGCGGTGCTGATGGCAACTTATGCCTAAACCTGGGATGCCTCATCACATAAAATCCTGCCATGACAGCCAGTACCTGGATAGGTGTTGCATATAATACAATGGCAGCCACAAGACAGAATGTCACGTATATAGCTGTGGCACGTGAATCTCGCCAACTCAACAGCGCCTGAATCCGCTCCCCTTGGCTAGCCAAATCCCCCACCACAGTCTGAATCTTTCCAGCCACGCTCCTTAGTCGATCATACCTCATACGGACCAGCTCTGAACTCCGTGTTGTTGGAAATGTGTCAAATTCCTCATCAAGCTCGTCAGGGTGCGCTGCGTCAGCATAAGATATTCTTGTGTTCATGTGAGGAGGGTACCTAGGCCGGTACCAATAATTCCAAAGCCCTATTAGGAACATATATAGAAACACCGTTGGCAAGATGAGTTCTGGCAAACAGACCAGTAACACAAAGAGAACATGAACTAGCACTGTTGTTACAGGGTTCTTCCACATGCAAACTTCCCCAAACCATTTTCCAGCAGCAAGTAACCCATTGAAAACCGACATTAGCCGGAAAAAGTTTGCCTTGCTACGCCTCATGCTCCAGAGATGTGAATCAGCATCGGTCATATATTCGACTACTTCTTTCCTGAGAGGGGGTTCAGCCCGGCTAAGCTTAGCTGCCACTATGTTGACAGCTTGGTGGCGCAGTATGTCGAGCTGCATTAGAGTCAATGGCCTCACATAGTGCATTTTAGGCAGAAGGGGTCGCGAGTATATGAACATCATGTTTGCCATTGATGTGCATGAAAACCGGACTGCCAGATGCAATTCCCCCATCTTCTTCACCCCGGAAGGTTGAAGGACTAGCAATGGGTAAGAGTGAGTATAGACACGCCCAGTTTCAAGAGTAGAGATTCGAATCCGAACCTTCCCAATTTTCATGTCTCTGTTACCATTTGAACCCTTGTCACCAAGCTGACTGTTATCAAAAACACCCACAGTGACAACCGTGGACGGATCAAAAACCTCCCAAGTGTACTGCTCATTGTACTTTGGGTTTAAACTGTCGATGATAGTTCGTGTCCGAACCCATTTGTGGCCATACTTTGCTACGCAATATGTGTCTGATGTACCCCTTCCATCTCTGGTTTTCATTGGGTGGAGGGCATCTGCGTTTAAAATGCCAAGTTCCAAGATACCTATTGATGGCTTCCAGAGCTGTTTCGCTGTGGGTCGGAGATCACTGCTGTAGTGAGTTGACTCATCAAGCACATGATACCCTCCATCCAGACAGACACGGAGATGAAGCCTAGTAGCAAACTTATCTTTCTTTTTCTTCTCCTCCACATCAGTAGCACTTGGTTTTTGGAGGTGGAACCATTCAGAGTGTACAATTCGATCATCAGCACGCTTCTGCACATAATTCAGTGGTAAAATGACCCTTCCAAAGATTTCAGCTTTGTTGGGACCCATGCGATCTTCAACTGAAAGGATTAGATGATCTTCGAAGGGTTCAGCAGCAACAAACATCAGGTCCTCATTCCACATAGCATTCATAGTCCGTGTTTGAACTGGCCTTGTCTTCAAAACCTGGTTGCCAATTTGTGCCTTAATATATACATCTGGAAAACGAGTCTTCTCAGCTACAATCAAGTCTTGCACCTCGATCACATTCACACGAACATACCATAATCTTGGGGAATGGTAGACTTTTGAGCGGATATGTGTGGATGGAACTGAGCTATCAACAGCGCTTGCTGCATCTGAATGCCAAGCATCAGGGTAAGCCTCATCAGCTTGAGTGCCGATCCAAACAGCAAGCATCAGCTCCCCATTATTCTTCTCCCCTTTCTTGTCTTCAAGACGATACCATTCTGGAGCCAATGGACTATCTGGAGGAACTCGGGTGGGTACCTCATGGAGATCATACCTAACAGTCCCAACAAAGTCATCTTTCACCAGATCCTTATCCTTAACCACAACTTCCAGGACATCTGACTGCATTCTCTCTTTTGCAAAGGCAAACACTGTGTTCCACTCCGGATTTTTATTTTTCTCAAAGTGATTTGTGACTCCTTTGTAGTTTCCAACCTTTATTTCAACATAAGGGTCAAGGCTGCCGGTAACATCTTTGGAAGGAAGGTCGCGTGCTTTCACAACTCGTACAAAAAGAAACTGCATTGGCTCAACAAGGTCGTAAGTGCTGGCTGGTTTGTCTGACCGTATAACTCGTCCCCCAACAATCTGTCCCCCTCCAAGAAAAGGGCTTGTCTCTTTAAGAGCATATTCAATTGGCTGTGACGATGAACCTGAGTACATGCGAACAATATTTGGAGCCCGAGGCTCAGATCTCATTGCATCAATCCCATAATTCACCTGTTGTCGGGTGGCTACTGAATAAAATTGAGGCTGTTGTGCGTTATTTGAGTTGGGAAGATGGTGAAATTTGTGTCTTGATTCATTTTTGTCATTAGAAAATGGGTTTGGAACAAAGTTTGGAATTTTTCGGGCAGGTGCTTGGCTTTGGCTTGAGTGTGAATTTGTATATGAAGAAGATTCCATTGCAGGAAGCGGGTTTGAAGACTTAATTGAAGGGTCATCGGTGACAAAGACTTTCAGGGCGAGCTCTCCTTTTACACGTGAGAAAATGCCTCGTTTTTCTAAAGGGTAAGGCAAAACAACAGCATCAGAGTAGGGGACAAACGACGTCCCTGTAATGCAAACCTTCCCAAGAAATGATTTGGAGTGAGTGGTTTTGTTGCTGTTGTAGACATAGGCCTCAAGAGTGATGTTAGATAGGTTGTCAGGATCAGAAATGTTGAAATAGAAAGTCTCATTCCAAACAGGGTCAAGATCCTTTTCTTTGATAGTGGTGCGGAACCTCTGTTCATCAAAGTGAAGCTCCACAAAGGCACTAGATGAGCCCTGCCCATCTTTAGGCATAAGGTTGTGGGCACTCGTGACCTCCACCCCTAACTTGAGATTGCTCATTTCTATCACGAAGATTTCGTCAAAGTGGTGGGAGGCAGATGAAGGGATATTTAGATACAAGCTGACAAAAACTGACAGGAAACAAGACGCACCTGAAAAGGAAGGGTTTGCTATTACCACTGGCTCAAAAATTCAAGGCGGCACAACGAACAGGAAAAAAAAAAGACATAAAATAATGAGAAAAAAAACTTTCATACTCTAATAAAAAAGTTTAAAGGCAGCCTGATATTTCACAAGTACGAGTGACAGAATCACCTGACTCACAAGAAGTCTACCACATATACTAAACATAGATGACACCCGGTGAAAACGAAAATAAGATTGGCAGTACATATTTGCAGAGTACAATGAATGAGCACATAAGAACGTTAACAATTGAGTTAATTGGTCTAAAAGATATGAAGTTAATGAGTTGGACTGGTATCATCAAATATGTTTCTTCCAAACAGAAAAAGTCACAAATAGAACATGTAAGAACAAAATCACATCTAAAAGGACTTCAGCTCCACTGGACACAGCTCAACTAAAATTAAAATCAGGTATACCGCTCTCTTAAGAGTTAATATAACACGCTTTGTTCCACAAAGTGTTTCATCAGGGGCCATATTCTATAAAATTTAAGGCAATAAAGTCTTCTACAATTACAAAACCAAGTCACTTCAGGAATTGTCTTAACTTAACAGCATCATTCAGCACTTTCTCAATTATCTACAAAATATGATTATCTACCTTGGCTGTACTTTTGTAGCAACCACAATGGGAAGTGAATTACCTATGAGAGACAAGTTCACAAACCATGAACTACAATTCAAAAACAAATCTATCACACCAACCTCCACTCAACTTGATAAAGTCTTGCCCGTGAGGATAACCAATATCAGTATTACTACCCCATCTATGAGGAGGTTAGATACTATACTCTGATTACTAAAGCTGACATGCTAGAAACGAAATTAAACTAAGGAGCACGGGAGAGTCTAACATTTTCAATAAGGGCTTCATCATTTTTCTTTTCTTTTATTGTTCTCGATTCATATTGGTGTTGTTCTTAATATAAAACTTCTCTATAGCCTTTTGACTTTAAACAAATGTTACCTAAAAGCTTCCATTTCCCACAAGGTTCATGTTTACAGAGTTCATGGTTTGATGTTAAACCTCATGAAAAATAAAAGACCACTTAAATTTAAAATTTAGTAGACAATCATCATACCATGTTGACTGCCAAAGAACAAGCATCAACAAAAAATATATCTAACCAAGTATTACATTGCTTGTGCACCATTATTTAAAAAGTTGCATGTCGGTAAAAGGTAGTCCAATGCACAAAGTTTCTACCACGAAAAGGTCTGTGAATCAACTCAAGTTTTCAGCCACTCACAAGGTTAAGCCACCGGAGCAGAAGATCTTCACGTCAACCCTCAAATAAACAAAGACATATTACACATTTGTGTTGAACAACACAAAAAGAAAAAAGGAAAATCCAGCTGGAAGTGATTCATTAAATCAATATCAACACAAAGCCCCAACACAATACATCCAAATCAGCAATTAATTTCCAGAAGAAGCAGAGAAGGTTCCCAAAAAAAGGGGATACACCTTTTAGACTTTTAAGGAGTCAAAACAGAGGAACAATAACATACCACCAAATTCAAGAATGTCTAACTAGCAGAAAAGATCAAAAACTGGAAAAAAAAAAAGTAATATAAAGCACAATACACCAAAAAGTAAAGAATATAACCATATGAGAAAAAAGTGAGACAATCAGAATTGGACCAGACGATCCATTTATAACCACAAGCTGAAGTCATCCCGGGGGAAAAAGAAAGACCTTTTTTCATCTGATTCTCCAAAGATAATAATGGAGACAAGTGTAAGGTACACCCGACCACAGCACAAGAAGCTCTTACCATTATGAAAATCAAAAGTACCGATTGAATATCCACGAAAAGGATAAACGTAAAGATGAAGAATCAAGGAGATATCCAATTAACAAAAGCTAGAACAACGTTGACTTGATTCCAGAACCATAAATTGATTTGATTGCAAAGATTACAAGGAAATTTTGTTGTAGTATTTGTAATTCTCCGTTTGTTCAAGTTTATTGAAAAAAATTAATGAAAACCGCAATCAATCTACAAGAAGAATTTAAAACAAAAAAAGAATCAAATTACCTCTTTTTTCAGCTTTGTCGATCGATAATTTCCTCGATATAAAAACAGCTCCGATTCCTTTATGTTAAGATTACGGGTAATAGAGATTTAGACTTGAAGTGAATACAGAGAGAGAGAGAGAGAGAGAGAGAGAGAGAGAGAGAGAGTTGCAGAAAATAAAACGAAGAATAGAAATAAACAAAGAGAGAGTTTCAGAAAGATATAAAGAAGAAAAGAAACGAAATCCTTAAAACGAATGCTTCTGCGATGTTGCAGAGAAAGAGATAGGAAGAGAGAGGAGAGAGAGAGAGAGAGAGAGGCGTGGGAAATGAGCTAATCGTGTTCGTGTATACCATAATGTAAGCATAAGCATAAGAAAAGAAGAGGAAGTAGAGAGGGAAGAATGGTCCAAGTCTACTCCCATGTCCGTTTCGGTTTGGTGTTTTTTTTTTTAAGGAAAATTACACCAGGACCTCGACAGTTTGGCAGTAATTACAGAGATCCCCTCAAATATTAGAAAAATAGCACTGTCACACTTGTTAGCAACAAACATTACATGACGCTAATAGAAGTTATTAAATGTCAATTTTATCCTTTGACAAAAATCATTCAAAACTTATCCAAATCAATTTTTCTTCCTCCCCCACGCCTACCATCTCATACTCTTCATGCACACAACAACACATACACATACAACAACAACAATAAATTTTGTGGAAGATGGTGATGATGATTTTTTTGGAGCTAATTAGCGAGTGAGAGAAAGAGAGATGTCGGTTGCGGTGGCATTGTTGATGAGGAAAATCATGGAGTGGCAAAAATAAATGGCGGTATATTTAGGTTTTTATTTGTGAGGTTTTTTGTGTGTTAAACAGTGTTTTAAAATTTGGCCTGACCCGATAGATTGAAATGGTAAACTGGTGAACCAATCATTAAACCGGGCCGGATTGTTAGTTAGATTATTTGAACATAAAATCGGTCAAAATTCGTTGAATCGGACGGTTCTTGTCCAAATCCTCTGAATCGGACGAGTGTTAACAAATCGGGCAGATTAATTTTTTACTATAAAACACAGGTTTTTGGCCCTTTTGAGCATTTTTGTCCTAAACCTAATCGTTGCCTCTACCTCTCTTGAGGCCGACGACTCTCAATTATTGACTCAACCTCTCGCTCTCTCTCTCTCTCACTTGAAATGTCGAACGAATGCATTACCTTCTTCACTTGACAAGTACTTCATCTCTTCTCTCTTTCTCTTCCTCTCTCAGTCTCTTTGCACTCTTAGATAGTGGTGATTATATGTCGATTTTTTTGTTAATTATTTTGTACATATTGAACTTCGTTTAGAGAAAAAACTGAAAAATATTTGCTTGTTATATTGAATTTTCATTTTAAAGAGATGACTTATGAACTCTTCTCCCAAACACATTGTGGGTTGTGATGTTCAAGTCTATTGCTAAAAAAAAAAAGGTTTTGTTGCTGCGACTGTGATGTTTAGGTTTGAGATTGAGGCCGTTAATAGGGGATGGAGAATGGGAGATCCTTGTTAGACTAAAGAGAAGGGAAATGTCCAACAACCACAAGTTTGGTTAAGGATTAGGATTTGGGTATAGATGTATCCATAGACCCCGATCATCATGAACCCAGATCTTCTCAATTTACAAATTTTCACAATATAAATTAGCTTATCCTCACCATTTTAGATTTTATCAAATTTAATTGATGTGGGTAGGCTAAGAAATCGCAAATCTCTTTTCTATATCTTTGTTTTTTTGTTTTTGTTTTTTTCATTTGTGTTTGTTGTAGTTGATGAATTTTGAGCATTCAATTTGGTACATTAGATACATGTTTGATAATATTTTGATTGTTAATTGATTTCATGTGGATTACCTCTGGTATTTTAATAATTATTATAATTTTTTTTATCATATTTATTATTATTATTATTCTATTATATTATCTGTTCGATCACTGGCCCAATAGTTGAACTAGTAATCTATTAACTCGATTTTTTTACTGAGTTGATGTTCTGGCCGAGTTTTAAAATTACGGTGTCAAGTGTGGTTGTGGGTCCCATAAGGGTAGTCTGGAAATTTTGTGATAAAAAAGTAATGATGTCATTAAAGTTTGACATCTTAAAAGATAGATGTTAATCCTTCACGGGATCACAGTGTTATTTTTCATACTTGAAGGGGGTCTTTTTGATTTAGTGACAAACCGCGTGCAATTCTCCCTATTTATTACTGCCCTGACGCGGGAAAACTTTGAACCTGCCGCTCTGATCAGCCACGCGTTCACGATCCTTCGATTTATTTTTGTTTTATTCATGTAATGGGTCCCATTTATACTGTTAATTACGGAGCCACGTACACGACAATACAAATTTCTTCCATTTTATTTCGTAATAAATTATTTATTATAAATTCAAGTATAACCTATTTTATATATGAATAAATCCTAAAATTATACATGTGTAGTACTCAAAAAACTTCAAGACACGTGTCTCCATTATAATAGGACAAGTGTCAACGATTATCAATTGACATGAAAATGAGACTCGACAGAATTCAGTTAGATTAGTATAAATGACAGTGATAAATGCAACATCCATGGGTGCGATACCCTAATAGCGTCAACTGGACTGGTGTAGATAAAAATGTTATGCGTGATGTCCAAGGCACGACACTCATGCGTGACGCCCTCTAGGCCCGACGCTCCCTTGGCGTGACGCCCCTGACGCGTGCCCCCTGGGCGCGACGCTCTCAGGCACAATATCACAACAGGGCGACATACATCACTATCGAATTAGAAGTGGAAAAGTGGCCTTTTCACTAAGGGTGGACAAAAGTAGAATCGCAGAAGTATGGGGCAACCTCGGTGAAACCCTTTTTCCCCATTGTGGGAGTGGTATCCTCAACCTATTGGACACCATTGCTCAACTGGCCCACTGGACTAAGAAGAGATGTCCCCACCAAGGGACATGGAAGTACGACCCTCCTCAAGGGAGAATTGAGCAATAGGGGTGGACGAGCACGATTGTCAACCTCGGCCTAGGACAGGGTCTCGAAAGTTTAGTCTGCTCAACCAGGCCTCTCAGTGTATGGCTCATTGCTTGCTAGGCTGTGCTTGACTGGGATCCGGAGAGACTTCTAATGTAACTGGGCTTGTTGGTTTGGATTAACATGTGAGATAATTAGACATGTGGATTGGTGACTGAAGGACCAAAATTTTGTGAATTTCCTTTATTGGAAACCTCGACAAAAGTCTCGAGAAAGGGTCTAAAGAGGAAAATAAGGACCTTGGGTTGGAGTGCGTTAGGGGCATCGTGGGCATGGTTCTCTCGAGGTTATGGTCCCACGGTGACCAGTCACGATCATAAACCTTGGGAGCCCTTTCTCACCTTGGCTGTCACACCTTCCTCGGGGTTACGTCCAGATTGCGTTTGGAAAAACATAACCTCTACCTAGGTAATGTTGGGAAGCATGACTTGCCATTAAGGACCATTGGTATCATCCCGGTCAAGACAGTTGTGGGTTAACGCGAGTGGTAGGAGGTCGCAGCGGGCAGTCCGACCTGTCCGAGCTATAAATACCCAAATTACTTGCCCACTGCAAGAGATAAGTTTTCTGACTGGTGAAAACATTGTTCACCTACCCTCTGTCCAACTAGTTCGTCCCTTCGTTAATAGGTTGCTTGAGTTCTTTCTATCCCATCAACTTATCCTACTCACCCCCTTCGATTACACTTGGTATAGGCACGTTTGTCAACCTCTTTTAACTCCCCAGCTATATTTTTTTGGCAAATCCACTAGGGAGGTTTGTCCTTGTTAGACTATGCCGATTATAACTCGAAGTGGAAGAGTATTGTCTAATATGATGACCAAAAATAGCAACGACAAGGAAGGCGAATAGTAGAAAAGCCCACCCCAACGCGAGGATAGCCATGGTTTCTCTACGAACTAAAGGGCTCCGAATGTACCAGGGCCCTCCGCAATGGTGCAGGCTCTGCACGACATGCAAAATTTGCAACAACAGATGGTTGCGATAATGCAGATGATTCAAGTCCAGATATATTTTTGGCCACCTAGCTTGCAAAATCCACCGATGTTCTTGCCATTGCTCCTGCAGTACCCGGTGCCACCACTTTCGACTTCGGTGACATCTCTTCCAATGACACTGTCGAGCGATAATGGTGCATCACGGAAGTCAAGCCCTTATGGTTTAACTTTGCAAAACCTTACCGATGAACCCCTACCACTTCCATTGCAAATTGATGCAACTAACCCCTTAGTTCTCTTGCAGCAAACTACCATAGGCAACCCTCTAACACTTTTACAACAAACTACTGCAACGGGATCTCTAACTCCCCTACTACAGGCAGCTACAACGGACCCTCAAAATGTCACAACCCCTAAGGTACTCACTGTGGCTAGACTCGTAACCACGACTGGTGCACCTTTCGTAAACTTTCCAACTACTCTCGGATATGAGCACGCTACGACTGGATACAACTATGACCTCGCAGTTTCTCAAATGGCTCCTCTCACCATCTCTACAACAACACTGAAAGCTACTCAGGTGTGGGGTCAAAAAAAATTTTTCACTGTCCCCGCAACCATGCCTTTAGCATTTTCGACCCCCGTTGCCACCACCTCGTTTCCATCAGCAGTTGCTTGGACGCCGTACTTGGCCAGCACAGAACGGCTAGTGCCTAGTGTTTGTCACACTGGCCCAAGTACAGGCCTTACTGGATAGACAGAAGGAGCCCATGCCAACAACCATGGACATAAGGTCCAAGTTTACCCTGGCTGTGCAGTAAGCTATGTATCTTACAGGGTACTCATCGTTGAAGTTTGATGAAAAAAATGGCAACTCTAGGGAGCACATTACCCGTTATCTTGATAGCCTTGGCCACTATGTGCTTCACGAGCCTCTTTAAATGAGGGAATTTTTCAAGTCCCTCAAGGACAGGGCCTTCACTTGGTATGCTAACCTCCTGGCATAATCGATGAGGGATTGGGATAACTTGATCGCACAATTCTACGCAAAGTTTTTTCATGTTGAGCAGCGTACTATAGTACTTTCCTTGACGAAGACTATTCAGGATGACGGAGAAGCCCTGATGCCATACATTGACAAGTTCCATGACAAAGTCATCTGAGTGCCAAGAAAATGTCATCGAAGAGGCCCTTATCTGAATCTGCATCGACGGAATGCACAACAAATACAAGACATACTTGGTGAACAATGACTTTAAAACCTTTACTAGACTATGTGAATTTGCTCAAAGGCTTTCGGAGGTGGTCCAACCCTCCTTGAAGATAGCTGGTTGGATAGACAAGAGGAAAGGAACAAGTTTTGCAGTTGTTGAGGAGGTCCTGAAGGGGGGTTAGCGTCCAAAGAAGCGAGAGAAAGCCTCCAAGCCCAAGGAGCCACCTCCATATCCTTGTGGTATGAAGGAAGTCCGACAAATTCTTATGAAATGTATTAAGAACGATGATGTTGAGCTACCACTAGTGGAAAATGACCCAATTAGAGAAGAAAAAAATAACCCGAATTTCTGTGAATTACATCGCCACACCAAGCACAACCTTAAGGATTACTGGACCATGCGCTGACTATTTTAGAAGCGCTTAAAGAGTGGGGAGTTGGTACTGATGGGCGCCGGGGGCAATGTCCATGATCGACCTCTCATAGACCACAAAGAAAGTAAGGAGGTGCACATGGTGTCGTGATGATAAGTTTGGCAGTGGTAATAGTGCCATGGCGGTGGGTCACGCGACAGACCTCAACTTGCTGAAGGTGATTAGCCTAGCAAGTCTTCGTGGTCACAATCAATAGGTACCTAAAAAAAAAAACTAGTCGAGGAAGTATGTTCAGGTTCACAAGATATTTGGTGCCGCAGTGGTGGGTCACGCGGCAGAATGGTGTCGCGACTATGGACCATGTTTTTCTTGAATTTAGAAGTATATCAATAACTGAACTCCATTTTATAATTTGAACCATTGAAAAATAATCAATGTGAGCCGACCCCAAGGCCAGCAAAGGGACCTTGTTATATGAAGACCATTGTAGAGACCTTATTATTGTTCCTCGAAAAAGTGAATATGTCATGTAGTCTTCGCGGTCACGACGTAAGCAGTTCATCAACATACATGCCTAATAATAAGAGTGGAAAATATTTTCAAAAAATTAAAACTTTATGCATTTCATGTGTAGACATATCCTGATTGAAGGGCCAACTATGCAATGAATTTTCTTAGATTGGTATGGCAACCCATTTGAACTATTGGTCAAACCAACGGGCACACGAATGACTAGAAGTTTCTTGCCATACTTTTTAAAATCTAGATGATGTTTTTCTACAATACATGGACTAGTTTCATGGCTTTTCCACAAAAAATTATTGAGTCAAAGAGAGTTCCACGAGTTGCAGAAAGACTCACTAGGTAGTGCAGACCGCGAAGGGTTAGAGCCCTCGCGGGAGGTGGCCCCAAAGAGATGTATCCATTGTGTCCTATTCGTTGTCTCCAACCAGTTATGATGGTGTGGGGGGACCACTCATGAGGCTGGGAGGGTGAGTCCTCAAGACGAGGTGCATGAAACAAAGGCCAACATCATCGCGATGCCCATTGATGTAGTCACTGCGCCAGAATGCATAGGGGATTGCCCTAAGCCGCAGTAGCTTGAGGTAGAAAACCTTGTCCCACTTGGGGAATCATCGCCCAATGGTAGTCAAAGATTTTCTATCTGGTACAAGGATAAAGAGATACACCTCAAAAAAATTGCATAAGTACAAAAATACACAAGTACTCGAGACCATTAGGCATGCAAAGCCCATCAAAAGAAGGTTCATGCATGCAGGGGCAACTAACCACGACAATATTTTTGACAATAAAGAAATGACGACAGAAGACTTGAGGCAATTTTATGAAAAAAATATTTTAGTCATCAACACCACGGTCAGCTCACAGACGATAGTTACAGTCAAACGACAAGTGTGGATCGAATATGGTGTGCATGCACAGGACGCTTCCCGAGACCTGGCACGTGTAGGGAAAAAATGTAGCACTCAAAAAACTTCAAGACACGTGTCTCCACCATAACAGGAAAAGTGACAACGATTATCAGTTGACATGGAAATGGGACCCGACAGAGATCAGCTGCATTGGTATAAATAACAAGTGCGGCCTCCTTGGGCGCGCGCCCTGATAGCGTTAACTAGACTGGTGTAGATAATAATGTCATGCGTGATACTTAAGGCACAACATTCATGTCTGACACCTAAGGTGAGATGCCCCTGGTTGCGACGCCCTTGGCCTCAACGTTCCCTTAGCGCAGCGCTCTCAGGCACAACATCGCAATAGAGTGACATACATCTCCATCGCATTGGAAGTGAAAAAGTGGACCTTTCACCAAAGGTGGACAAAAGTGAAATCGCAGAAGTATAGGGTAACCTCGGCGAAACTCGTCTCCCCCACTGCGGGAGTGGTATTTGGACACCATTACTCGACTGGCCCACTGGACTAAGAAGAGATGTCCCCACCTAGGAACATGGAAGTACGACCCTCCTAAAGGGAGAACTTAGCAATGGGGGTGGACGAGCCGATTGTCAACCTCGGCCTGAGACAAGGTCTCGAAAGTTTAGTTTGCTTAAGCAGGTCTCCCAGTGTATGACTCATTGTCCACTAGGATATGCTTGACTGAGATCCAGAGAGACTCCTAAGTAACTGGAGTTATTGGTCCGGATCAACATATGGGATGATGAGACATGTGGATAGGTGGTTGAATGACCGAAATTATGTGGGTTTTCTCTATCGGGCACCTCGACAAAAGTCTTGACGACGGGTCTAAAGAGGGAAAAAAGGACCGGATTGGAGCGCGTTGGGGGCATCGCGAACATAGTCTTCTTGAGGTCATGGTCCCACGGTGACCAGTCGCGATCATGGACCTTGGAAGCCCTCTCTCACCTTGGTTGTCACACCTTCCTCGGAGCTACGTCCATGTTACGTTTGAGAAAACATCACATCTATCTAGTTAATGTTAGGACGCATAGCTCGTCGTTGACGGCCATTGGTATCGTTGTAGTCGAGGTAGTTGTGAGTTAGCGTGAGTGGTAGGGGGTCGCGGCGGGCAGTCCGACCTGCCCGAGCACTGTGCTATAAATACCCACATTACTTGCACACTGCAGGAGATGATTTTTTTGGCTACTGAGAGCATTTTTCACCTACACTCTGCCCGACTAGTTCGTCCCTTCGTTAACAGGCTGCTCGAGTTCTTTTCATCCCATCCACTTATCCTACTCACTCATTTCGATTACACTTGGCATAGACACTTGTGTGAACCTCTTTTAACTCCCCACCTATAAAATGATAAACAATTTACGGAGAAGAAAAGTGAAAAAAATGAATATTAGAGGAGAACTTGATCCGTTACGTAGAATAAATTGTACTACAGTTCTGTACCACGATCAATTTCAGCCATTAATTTTGAATCGAATAATTTATATTTATGGTTTTGAGAAATATTAAAATAAAAAATTCATAAAAGAAAAAAAAAATTATACATGTCGTGCATTCTTATTAATTAAAAAAATAGAGATACAATGCAGAAAAAAAAATACTTTCTTCCGTTGACTTTCCATTAGCTTTTTTGTTTGGGGGAACTTCCCTACTACTTGACAAATGAAATCTTTTTGGGTCTCGCATATGGAGGGTGGGTCTGGATCTGGGTCTTGGTTTTGGAGGATGACATGGGTGTACAATTGTACATTAGGGTGTGTTTGTTTGCCGGATTTGTTTTTCTAGTATTGGCTAATGTCTTCGACAGTATTCTCATATCATAGAAAATTATAATTGGTATTAGTACATAAGGGTTGGGTAATAGATTTGAGGGTAAATCCAAGTCCTCTTTTTAAGAATATTGGGCCCGGGCAAGTTAACTATTGGGCCTATCGAATTTTAAACTTATTTTTTTTTGAACTAAGTAACGAGACCCACAGATAATCCAATCCATAGACACGCTTAATTATATCTAGGCATTCACCATTAAATAATACCATGTATCAAGCTACATTGAAGATACACATCTGTATGGGTATATAATTATATTTATACTACTTATAAATGTCAGCATTTGAGAAAAATTTTTAATTTCTTATTTTACCTCTAATTATTATGATAAGTCAATTATACCCACTTATGTATTTTCATTTAATTTTTATTTTTTTACTCCTATTTGACTTTCAATTTATTTTGGACTCTTTTGTAAGGACTTCTAAATTCTTATAAACTCATTTACTAGTAATATAATTATATACAATTTTTTAGATTTATATGAAAAAGTAAAATCTTATATATGTTAAATTATTATACACATGAAATTCAGTATCTGCGAAAAAATTTTGATTTTTTATTTTACTCATAATTATTATAATAAAGTCAATTATACCCACGTATATATTTTCATCTAATTTTTGTTTTTTACTTCTATTTGACATTCAATTTATTTTGAACTTTTTTGTAAAGATTTTTAAATTCTTTTGAACTCATTTATTAGTAGTACAATTATATACAATTTTTTAGATTTATATGAAAAATTAAAGTCCTATATATCTTAAATTATTATACACATGAAGTTACCATATTGAATTTCATGGTCAAATATATGTTATATTTTATTTTTTGGTATGTAATAATATAATAACATTACAAGTCATCTAATCAATTTATTTAACAAAGTAAAAATTAATAATTCTATATTATAATTAGATATGCAAATGCCTAAAGAATTGAAGAGATACCTTAATAATTAAAATATAGATTAATTATTCAGTACTTACTTTATTATTTAATTTAATCACACATATAATTCATATTTTTTATAAAAAAAATATAATAATTTATTTACGTGTAACACACATCGTACGTTGCTAGTCAACTTTAAATGTCGAGTCAATATAAAGTACTACCAACCAAAATTAGCTAAACAAACATCGTAAACGGCCAGTATTATTATTATTTGAAAAAAGAAAAGAAAAGAAAAGTGGTGTTCCATGACATGGTATGATGTGCTCAATTCTATGGCATGTGTGTCAAATCCCATATGAAGAAGTACATTTACAGCATTTTGCAACAAATCATAATCATCAACTTTACCAAATATCACCGTCAGTACCTATGGCAGTTTATTCGTTTTGTAAGTCCAAATTACTACTCATCATCACTTGAGCTACAAAAAATTGCCCATAGAGATTACAGGGCGAGGATTCCAAATTCATTTCTCTATTTAGTTGATCTGATCAGAACTGAAAGCCACTGAAATTTCCTGTTGCTTCCCACATTTTCACTTTCTCTATTAAATTTGCTTTTCTCTCAAGAAAAGCTTGAAGATCAGAAACATTATAAGGAGGAGGCATAGTGCACGCTCTTTTATTGGAAGGGTTCTTCACCATGGATTGTGTCATGAAGTCCCTATCTAATCCTTTGGCCTTGCAGGCCATTGTATCTGAACAGATTTCAACAGCTTCTGGAGGTACAGTGGGTTTATACTTCAAGAGCTTTGCATATTCATTCAACAAGTGGAACATGTAGTCATACACATGCTCTATCTGTAACTCCTCTTGGATGAATTTGCTTCCTTCCTTTCCAATCTCTTGTGCCTGAGTTTACAATCGAGTTGTTGATGAATACCAACAAGTCGGGTAATTGTCAAACATAAATAACTCAATTTTGCTCATGTAATAAATAATGTCTAACAAAATGAAATGTCTAATTTTTTTGTCAGAAGTTATATGAATTCTTGTAGAATTAACGGATTTTTGCTTTGTTTTGCTAATATCAAGATCAACAAGGATCAAAATTTTCTTTCGGTGCACAATTTCGGTGAGCTTGAAAACAGAAACGTTTCAGTAGTGTTTTGGAAACAAAGAATAATATGATAATTTATTTCCGAAACGTTGTAGAACATAGGTCGAAACATGCTGAAACACTTCGCAATATCTTCAAACATAGAAATCGTTTCGATTTCTATGAAAACAAAAACGTTTCGGACATTTCGTTCATTTTAAAAAAAAATTTAGTTCCTTAGAGATCAGCAATCTCAATGGAGTTAGGCTTCATGTTAATACATGTTGACTCACATTGACATGATTGACAAATAACTTGGGTTAGGGTTAGAATAAGTCTATATACTTGATGGGTTAAGATAAACTTAAAATCGATATAAACTCAAAATAACATGGCGCAACTTGATTGCCACACTTACACACACACGGACACTAACATACATATATATAAAATATAGATACACACAAAATGTGTGTGAGAGAAGAAATAACATAGAGAGAGACAAGTCACCTTGGCTGGATGGCTGTTGCCCCAGTCAACTGCGAATTTAACCGATCGGCACTTATCATTTTGGCTTATTGGCCAGTAGTGGACAGTAGGTATCAAGCTTCTTGTGAAGAAATCATAGTAACGGGGATTCACGAGCAGAGTCATAGAATCACAGGCAAGTATATACTTTTCGCTCACAGACCATGCAACTCCTTCTACATAGATCTTGTATCTGCATGAAATCAGCCAAAAACAATGATGGGATGGGAGCAAAGAGAGCATGATTCAAAATATTGCCCGACTCGTATCCTACTCGACATCTTTCCGAAAGGTATCGTTATACAATATGTTTAAACTCTGAGTCTCGCAAGACTCGTCCGAATTGTATCTGAATCATCGAATCGATTGATATAATTTTACGATGTCGCGATATGACCTGAATCTCTTATCACGGTTAACATTTTTTTTTAGGTCATGTTGTCAGATACTGCGCTGCAATACCGCAATTGATGTGTAGTCCTCCGAATCAATGGCCGATACCACGACTTTTAATCATGAGAGGGGGAAAGTATTCAAACTATAATGGCTCACCTATGCACGCATTGGCCGGCTAAATTTGTATGCTTGAACCCTTTTCTTGATTCCTGGTTCCACGCCTGCAAGAATTTCTAGCAGTCAACTTGTTTGCAGGCACCATACATATGTATATGATTGACCGGTCGGACAGTGGATGTGATATACAATGTCGTGTGAGAAATGTATTTCTGGACTTGAAATTTAGATCTTCCATATATAATAATACATTCCAAAGTCACGTAAATTTAATTCAAAACAGACAATATTGTATTACGTAAATTTAATCCAAAACAGACAATATTGTATAATACAAATATAAAAAATTATAATTATCCCGACTTAGTCTGTATACATCTCCTGGTACACTGGTTCCACGGAGTGGTGGCTTGGGACTAGAATCCCCTTCACCTAGATCGAGACGGATACTAAACGAGAACGTTTGAATTAAGGGATAGACCATAAAGTGGGAGTCCGGAACATAACAATTGAATCGAGGTCCAACAATTTTTTTTTTTTTTTTGTTCAATAGTCGGGGGTATTTGAACCAACTTACGCGTACCTCAACTAATCTCTTCTTTGATCCAATCGAAGACAGACAATTCACTCTGAGACTAGGATATTTGTCAGAGATAAATTTGTCATAGTTTAGTCCCAAAAAATTATCACAGCGTTTGAGTTTGCATTTCATCTAATTACATTGGGGTTGGGTCCAACATTTTTAAACATCTGCTTGGGATTATTGTACACAGACTCAATAAATTCACTTCCTTTCCATAGACAGGGGAGTCATTACCAGAGTATATAACCGAGCATTCGAGTCTTGTTTGTCTGTGAGATTGCACTTCATGAGGTCTCTTCTGGTTTTGCTAAGTCTGGAATTCCCTTTCCAGTAAGCATATGGTTCTCTCTCCACCCACTTAGTCCTATTGTTTCCTTCTTCCAGTTCTTCTATCAAAGACTCCCATGGCTTTATATTGATCTCAGGCCTACAAAAACATTTCAAATTTACATTTTCTTTCATAAGATATGATCTTCACACCAACACCCAGTCATGATTTCTTATGTTCTGTTTGGTAGAAAGGATGAAAAGTAAAAAAGATGGAAAATAGGAGAGATACACTTTTTATCCTTTAAGGATGAAAAGTAGGAATAATACACTTTTCTTCTTTTGTATTTGGTTATATGGATGAAAAATAAAAATGACTAATTTTTTTTTGTGATGACTAAGATTAGAGTTGACAATCGAGTCGTGTCGTGTCAAATTCGTGTTGAGTTATAAAACTATGAGTTTTTTATATTTCTTATTTGTGTGTCAGGTCATTTTCAAGTTTGTGTCAAGTTATAATTAAGTTTGTATCATAAAATTTGTGTCAAGTTCGAGTCGTGTCATCGCGTTGAGTCAAAAATTTTCACCTCTAGTTAAGATGAAAAAAAAAATATTTTTAATTTTTAATTTTTTTAATATGTATGTATATATATATATATATATATACACATATTTTATCATTATATTTTTATATGAAATTAATTTATATATAATACATATAGACAAATAAGATACATCTCAACATAAATAATTAACTTTTCACCCATTTTTCTTCCGATTTTGGAGGAAGTGATTTTAGTGAGCTGGAAGGAGATAATTCATTAACTTTTTCATCATTCCTTATAAAATATAATGTTTTATCTATCCCTTCAATTTTTCATTCTTCTAACTTTCCATCTTTCCATTTTACCAAATAGAGCATTAGTTGCTGTGTGGCTACCTAGAGAGAGAGAGAGAGAGTTCCGCGATATCTAATGGAACCTATATTATTAAGTGCAATGCTATTGAGATCTAATTTGTTGCCCTAATTCATTATGATATTTGGATTAAATGTGAATTCTATTAAATATTGGAACTTGGTGTTAATCTAATAGTTTTAATGAAGCCACATTATTATGTCAGCAAATTAAGTCAAATTTTTAGATTTAAATAACATTACTCTATTATTAGTCAATATTTTTTGGGGGTTGTGGGTGAAATTTACCCAAAAAATAGAGAGAGGGTAAAATACACTTTTGATCCTAAAAGTATGGATTTAATGTTTATTTGGTCTCCAACCTTTCAATTGTGTCTATTTAGTTTCTAAGGTTTCGAATTTGTATTTATGTGGTCCAATTCAAACGTCTCTTAGAAAATCGTTGACGATTTTGATCACGCGTCAATCACGTGGTTTCTAAATTTGTATTTATTTGGTCCTTAAATTTCTTAATTTGTGTTTGTTTGGTTCCATATAATTGGCGCATGATCAAAGTTATTAACAATTTGTTGATGGGCATTTGAGATTAGGTCACATAGATATAAATTAAGAACCTTAGGAGACCAAATAAACACAATTGAAAGATTAAAAATTAGATAAACACTACACGCTCCCGCTTCGGTCCATTGACATCCCTAAACACTACACGCATATTTTGAGGACCAAAAATATTTTTTTACTCAAAAAAAAAAAACACTATTTAAGAGTCAATTCCTACTTATTAGTATTGATCTGAAATGCTAGTTTTCGGTGTCTGAAATTGGAGCAATATTAAAGTAATAATCGTAATTTGAGATTATACCATGCGAAAAATAATATAATTTAGGGGATATAGAAAATTAATCATAGTTGAGCGTATAATGTAAGAAACATAGAGTAATGTTAGATGAATTTAAAAATTAGATTTGATAATCTTAATCATTGAATAGACAGTGAGTCTCAATAAATACTTGGACCCACAATGAGATCAATGGTTATAATTATCAAGTTTAATTTTTAAGTCCATATAAAATTACTCAAGAAACATAATAATTAACGGAATAGTATCAAACCAACCATAACTAAATGTGCAATATTAAAAAAACATGATTGAGCAATAACGTAAGGCAATAGTAAAGGGGGTCAAAGTATAATTTGTGCCGGTGTGAATTCTTTGAGTGAGAGGAAGAAAAATGGCTTACCAACCCCAAAAGGACCAGTCAGGGAAAACCAAGTCCAACGACGACTCATCACCACAGTAATGGAACATCGGCGGTGCTTTTCCGGCATTCACCCCCCTGTAATCCCTTTTTCTGATCACTGGTCGGTCGCCACATCCGAACATCAAATCCAAGTCCGGCAACTTCACCGGGTACAGTCTGAGAAGCTGCAATATACCCCACACTGTAAACACATCTCTTGTTCCAAAAACACTCCTATATTTCTCCATATAAACCCTTCCATTCACAACCACAATTCTAATGTCTGCAACAGATTTTCCACTTTCCACCAAGTCCTTGGAAATTCCGTTGCTTTTCCTCCATGGCTCTAGATCTTGATAGATCCACCGGAAGTATTCCGGGCAGGCCTCGGATGATGATGATGAATAGTCGGGTTCGTGTCGTGTCGGGTAAGTTTTTGGACATGTTTGTGTGGTGTTTTGATCAGTGGAACAGTTGAGTGAGTATCCATTGTTTTTTTGTGTACTATTGGGACTTTCTGCTGAGGTTATAAGTGCCTTCTGAGATGAAGCACCTGGAAAAATAGACTGAATAACAAACCAACAATTAAAAAAGGAAATACTTCCATTTCTAAATAATTTTTTTCGCTCTGTTTATACTATACATATCATTAAGGGGTGTTCAATTAAATCCAGCATTGTGGTTTAGACCTGGAAGAATGGTAGACTTGTACCCCTCAAACTTAATTGATACACGTGATTTGCAAGTGATTATAGATATCTAGAGTTTACTCTGACAAATCAGGGTGAGTTTGTTCTTGTCCTGTCCAAAAACATTCTTTATTCCTCAGTGGAAAAAAAACTGTGACTTAATGTGTTAAGTTGGACGGTAGAGCAGCTGTGCTTGAAGTTCAAGGGCTCTGTGACTACTCTGACCCAGTTGAATCTTCGCAATCTTTTGCGATTAGGCCACGAAAAATTTATTTCTTATTAATTTTATAATTTTGATGTGAATGACATGTCTTTGACCGGACTGAAAAAAAAATTAGTTAAAATACGTGTAAATTAACTAGAATACCCTTGACGGTTGAATCTAGAAAAAAAAAAAAAACTACTCCACCCATTTTAGGAGCACCCTTTCTTGACTTATTTAAAGAAAAGAAAAAACGGAAAAAAAATTGAAAACCATGATCTAGAAAGACTTACTATGTCTACCCAACTGATGGCAATAAGGGCACTGATGATGAAGATTATTAAAAAGAGGGTGACACTTATTGCCCCATTCTTCTTGAGTTCTTGGCCCATTTTTATTGACCAAATTGCTTTAGCTCCTTGCAGCCAAGATCCATGATCTGCATGAACAGTAATTTCTTCCATGACAAACCGTATCTTTCTTTTTACATCTATCTTCTGATGAAAATCTTTTTTTTTTTTTTTCAAATCTTAAGCATGTTCATGATAATAGTACTAGGATTTTAGCATACCTGCATCCATATATATAGAGAGAAAAAGAACTCGATCGCCAATTTTGTGGGAGATAATCTTTTACTGTATTTTCCTGTCTTTTTGCTATCAAATCTGATAGAAAGACTAAAAATGCTATTAATCCAATAAACATGTGTTAATCTTTATATGTATGACAAAGTATGATTGAATAACACCCTACTGAATCATATAGGTAATGAAATAGGAAGGGTTTTGTTTTTCTTCCTTGAAAAGAGAATATTTTGGAATTGCAGCCCACAAATTTTGCAAGTTAAAGAGCAAAATAAGACGAGAAGAAAATTTGAAATCACCGGAGTTTAACGCTGGAAAAGTTCAAAGAAAATCAATAATGAAAAAAACAGCATCAAAATCCTCTCATTTTGAACAAAATATACATAAGATTACAAAACCTGTAAAATGTCTTCATAACTTTCCATCAAACTCGCAGAAGAGACTAGTCTTCATTGCACACAGGAGAAGAGGGAGAGAGAGAGAGAGAGAGAGAGATGGTCTTAGACCCTACCCACTTGCCATCCTTATCTATCAACTACTTATATTGAATTCTAGCTGTATATATGAATTTTGATGTTAAGTGTCAATGATTTATAATTCGACACACGTAATTTATAGATAATTAAATAGAGGTCCAAAAAAAAAAGGCAAAAGAGAAACTTTTGAGATATGTCAACAAGATAATTAAATAGAGGTCCAAAAAAAAATAAGGACCAAAGAGAAACTTTTGAGATATGTCTACAAGATAAGGTGGGGACTAATGAATTCATGTGTCTTAGGCAATGAAGATATTCTTGAGTGCCTAGTTTAGTCATGGGACTTGGTCATCGTCGAACATTAAAATTTTATTTTGGTGCATTTGTTTGATTATTTAAAAAATTAAAATGTTTCAACCCATTTCAAAAATAAAATAAAAAAATAAAAAATTATTTTTTTAAAATATTGGTCGAAATATACAAAAATATCTTGAACTACCTTAAAATATTTTGAAATAATTATGCAAATACATTGAAACATCATAAAACATTATGAAAAACCTCAAAATATTAAAATTTTGATTTCATCACTGATTTATTTTGTCTCATTGAAAACGAAAATGTTTTAGATGTTTTCATAATTTCAAAACAAAATTTTGATCCTTGATCATCGTTATTCCTCCCATTGGTGGGGTTTCCATTTGGGCCGACTAACTCAAATTTAACAATAATTAATGTTATTCCTTTCCAACCGAATTGCTTAGTGTTTGGCTACAAAGAAATCTTGACAATTATTTTGGGTCAAGTCACGAGGTATTAAATATTTCATTCTCGACGTGGATGATTTGTCTTTAACTAAACCAATGAAAGAATTAGTCGAGGTGTACTTAAACTGACCTGAATACTATTAAACCAAAAAAAAAAGAGAAAGATAACACCTTCGCTCCTCCCCAATGAGTCCAAGGTGTAATTTTTTTACTAATCGGTAGGTCATGAGTCACCAGGTTGATGTCACCAGTTATTGAATATTTGTTGGAGTATAGATAGTCTAGATTTATTAGGATTTCTTTTCTTTTTTTTACCCTTACTAAGATTTTTATATTTGCCTAAACTACAAGGATGTTTAAGTCACTTTGTATTATTTTTGGATATATATACGGGGCTCTACTCTTAATTTGAGTATCCATTTTCACTTACGTTTATTTCAAGTTGGTATCAGAGCCATAAACTAACCCTACCTCAAACCCTAACCTTCTCCCTAACTTAGCCTCCACCGAGATTGCCTCACCGGCAAACTGCCTTCAAGCAAACCCAGCAACCCACTACCTGTCCACCAACCCCATGCGTGACTGTCCATCCACCGACTGAAACCAAATCCACCGACTCCATACCAGCGAACCAAAACCAACGAAATAGAAAAACGCTGAACCAAAACCAACGAAACTCCACCGACAATCTGCTGCCCAGCGAAAACACAAGCCCCATAAGCCTTCCACCGACTGCCCATCATACCTATCCTTATCCTCATAACAGCCTTCCAGCCCCTAGCCGCAACACTCCAACAAAATCACACCGACATCCACAAACCCACTTGTCTCACCCACTGCACCGACTGCCTCCATAAAGCACCGACTGCCTACACAGCAAAACCAGCAACCACAAACCAACTGACCAGCCTGTCCACACCGACTGCCTCCATCAAACCAACCCACAATCAAACCCAAAAACCAATACAGCTAAGCACCCGTGACAGCCAATATTATTAGCCGTCACAAACCAACAAACCAAGTAAGATTGGGTCACTGTTCATCAGCCCACTGCTGGGTTGCTTTTTTATTGTAGCTTGGTCCTTCGCACACTTCGTCATAGTGCTGCCAGATTGTAGTATCTAGGACTTTTTTAGGAGGGAGCGGATCCTCTTCTCCTTTTATCTGTTTTTGATGCAGTAGATCATTTATATTTATTGGATTTCTGGGCACCGTGACTTGATTATTTGGGAGCTTTTTGGACCTTCCTTATTTGTCGCTACTGTTCGACTGAAGGTATATTGTTCTCCCTTATTTTATTCCTCTATTTATCTTAGAGTTATTTTCCTGTCACGGGTGCCCTAGTATTGTTGTTGATATGACTACTACTGAGAGACTTGAGAACCCTACTGTTGACACCTCTACCGTTGAGACATCTATGGGTACTTTCACTTTTATGTTTGACCAGTATACAGTGCCTACTAGCACAGTTGCATTACCAGTATTACCGGGCATGATCTCTCAAAAAGTTACGGCACAATTGTTGAATGGTCGTAACTTCGCTGAGTGGTCACGCTCATTCCAGCTTTTCTTAGGCCGTGTAGGGAAGCTTGGTTGGCTGACTGGATCTCACCCAAAGCCAGCTGATGCCGACCCTGGATATTCTGCGTGGTTCTCTGAAAACTGTGCCATTCTTGGATGGTTATTTGGCTCAATGGAGCCCTCTGTTTGCAGGATCCACCAGTTTCATAGCTCTGTTCCGAAGCTATGGAGCGCATTATCAGAGATGTATTCTCAGTCAAGACGGGGAGTTCGTGTTTATGAGCTTTCTCAGGAGCTCTCATATGCTCGGCAGGGAGATATGACCGTTCAGGATTATTATGGCTATTTGACCCAGCGCTGGCTTGAGTATGAGTCTCTACGTCCTCTTGCTGCTATTCCGAAGATAGAGCCTGAGGGAGCAGCATTCTTGCATACTCGAGAGCAGGAGGATAGGATTCACAAGTTCCTTATGGGGCTTCGTGATGAGTTTGAGGGACCTCGTTCTCAGATCTTGTCGATGTTGACACTTCCTTCTCTTTATGAGGTGTATGGGATGATTGAGCAGCATGAGCGTCGAGTCCGTATTGCATCACTTCCAGTTGCAGCTTTGACTCCTTCGATTGACCAGATGGCCCTTGCAGCTGCTGTAGGGTCCCGTTCAGGATCCTTAGTCAGGGATGGTCAACGCTCAGACCAGCGCCGTCAGGGCGCCCCAGATCAGCGCAGACGGGGAGATTCCCGTCAATGTGATTATTGTGGCCGACCAGGACATCTCAAGGCTACTTGCTGGAAGCTCCATCCAGAGCTTAAGCCACCTTCTCGCAGCCGTACTGTTGCTATTGCTGAGGTACCACCTCCCACTACCGCCACTCCTGCTACTGCTCCTCCTTGGCAAAGTGATATGGATGCTATCACTTCCCGATTAGATATACTTATGTCTGCTCTGACTTCTCAGAGTCTGACTACTGCTGCTGTCACCACTACAGGTATATCTCGTGCCTTTCACGCTTGTGCCAGTTCATCTCCCCTTTGGATGTTGGACTCGGGTGCGAATGGTCACATGACAGGTGAGGCCCATCACTTCACCACTTTTGACGAGCCGTTACATACACAGGTTCAGTTAGCAGATGGAACACATGCCCCTATTGTTAGTAGGGGTACAGTCCGTCTCCCAGATGGCCTTACATTACATTCGGTTTTTCATGCGCCAAAGTTGGCCATGAATCTATTATCTGTACATCAGTTAGCCAGAGATTTTCACTGTGCGGTTGTATTCTTATCTGATTCGTGTTATTTGCAGGACCTGAGTACCAGGAGGATTATTATCAAGGGACATGAGAAAGATGGACTGTATTATCTTGGCAATCCATCTCCAGTTTCACCAATTCCTTCACCTGCACCTGCTTTGTCTTTTTCTATTCCTAGCTTGCATGCTAGTATTTTACCTAGTAGTTGTCGTTATGATTTTTCGTCACAAACTGTTCAATTGTGGCATGACCGTTTTGGACATACAAATTTTAAATATTTATGTATGTTGTTTCCTGCTTTGAGTAATGCTTGTGTTGGTGGTAACCTTGATTGCGTTATCCGTTCCCTATCAAAACATGTTAGGGCCAATTATATTCCTCGCATGCACCAGTCACCCAAGCCATTTGACCTAATACACTCTGATATTTGGGGACCCTCTCCCGTTACTGCTCTGTCAGGTGCCAGATATTATGTGACATTTATAGATGATCATACCCGTTGTACTTGGGTCTACCTTTTGCATAGGAAGTCTGATGTGCTCCCTATAATCACTCAGTTTTTACAGATGATTAAGACACAATTCGATGCAATTGTTCGTGCTCTTCGTTCGGATAATGCCAAAGAATATGTGTCTGATGCTTTAGTGTCTCACCTTTCTTCTCAGGGTATCCTTCAGCAACTCACTTGTCCATATACTCCTGAGCAAAATGGTGTTGCTGAGAGGAAAAATAGGAGTTTGATAGGGATGGTACGTTGTCTGCTTAGAGGCATGAGGGTACCAAAATCTTATTGGCATTTTGCTGTTTTGACTTCTACCTTTCTGTGCAATCGTACGCCGAGTCGTGTTCTTCAGCATAAGGCTCCCTTACAGGTCTTATTTCCTGAGCGGACACTTTTTCCGGTCCCCCCCTCGTATTTTTGGATGCACATGTTTTGTTCAGGATCGGTCTCCTACTCGTCATAAACTTGATGATAAAGCGATTCGTTGTATCTTTGTGGGCTATTGTCATCAATCTAAGGGGTATCGATGTTATGATCCTATTAGGCGTCGTATGTATCACAGTCTAGATGTTACCTTTCTTGAGCATATTCCTTATTTTCCTTTCAGTCCTTTGTCTGCCCCTCCAGTTGATGATACTCCCTTTGATTTTTCATTACCACAAGAGTCAGAGTCATTGATCACTATCCCTACAGGGTCATCCGTTTTTCCTCCAAAGGAGTCACTCATCCCTGTCAGTACAGAGTTACCAGTCTCTCTTCCTTTGCAGGTGTATGCTCGTTGTCCTCGCTCTCATCACCCTGTTGATATCCCCTCTACTTCAGGCGATGCAGGTAATACTTCTCAGTTTGTTGAGCATATTGATGCACCTGTTGTTAGTACTGATGAGATTACAGGTGCTGAGCCAGTTACTTTACCTGATAAGATATTATCAGTAGAGGATGGTGATTTAGGGCGTCGTTATCCAAGGCGTGATCGCCGTCCAGTTGATCGATATGGTTGGATCGCCAAGATTTTATATCCGATCTCTGCTTATGTTTCTTATGGTAATCTGTCTCCCACATTTCGAGCTTATACTATGGCCTTATCAGATACGCTGGTTCCTCGCTCTATTTCAGAAGCTATGTGGGAGCCCCAGTGGGTTCTTGCCATGCAGACAGAGATGGACGCTCTTCAGCGTAATCATACATGGGATCTTGTCTCCTTACCTTCAGGGGTGAAGCCTGTTGGCTGTCGCTGAGTTTACACCTTGAAGTTTCTGGCAGATGGTACTATTGATCGTTACAAGGCTAGACTTGTGGCGAAAGGCTTTACTCAGGTACCAGGTCATGATTTTGGTGCTACATTTGCCCCCGTGGCAAAATTGACTACTGTTCGGTTAATTATTTCTCTAGCTGCGGAGTACTCTTGGCCTCTTCATCAATTAGATGTGAAGAATGCGTTTCTTCACGGTGATCTGGACGAGATTATTTATATGGATGCACCACCGGACTTTCGTGGTGAAGGGGAGTATGCTGGAAAGGTATGTCGACTGCGTAAGTCTCTTTATGGACTGAAACAGTCGCCACGAGCCTGGTTCTCTCGCTTCAGTGATGTAGTCATACGATTGGGGTTCACCAGGTGTCATTCTGATCATACCTGCTTTATTCGACGGAATACTTCTGGACAGTGTGTCATCCTTCTGGTATATGTTGATGATATTATTATTACTGGTGATGATGTTTATGGGACTGCGCAGGTCAGGATCTCAGACCGGTTCTCTAGCCTGTTATTCAGATTCAGATTATGGGGGAGCATGTGATGGTCGATCTACTACGGGTTTCTGTGCTTTTCGAGGGACTCATCTTATCTCTTGGAAGAGCAAGAAGCAGACAGTTGTCTCCCACTCGTCCGCAGAGGCAGAGTATCGGGCATTGGCACTTGGCACATGTGAGATTATCTGGCTACGATCGATTCTTGACGAGTTGGGTTTTTCAGTGACCTCTCCATCCACATTATATTGTGATAATCAATCTGCTATTCAGCTCATTTCTGACTCTGTACTACATGAGAGAACGAAGCATATAGAGATCGATGTTCACTTTCTTCGGGAGAAGGTCAGTAGTGGTCTTGTTACTCCATCGTTTGTGGGGACCAGTGATCAAGTTGCGGATGTTTTTACCAAACCTGTTACTCTGTCTATTCTTCGGGACTCTGTTGTCAAGCTTGGCTTAGTTGACATTTTTTGCGCTTAGCTTGAGGGGGAGTGTTGGAGTATAGATAGTCTAGGTTTATTAGGATTTCTTTTCCCTTTTTTACCCTTACTAAGATTTTTATATTTGCCTAAACTACAAGGATGTTTAAGTCACTCTGTATTATTTTTGGATATATATACGGGACTCTACTCTTAATTTGAGTATCCCTTTTCACTTACGTTTATTCCAAGTATATTGAATATGGATCAGCCTATAACAAGAGACAAATATTCAAAGCAATGGTTGTGGGGTGATTGTCAACATAATAAAAGAAGAATATGAAAAATGGAGAGGAGTTTTAATAAGCCGTTTAATGGAGCATTTTGCATAAACAATGTAAGTCTTTACCAAATCAGAATTAAGGAAGTTGATATCGACTATGATTCACAGTTCAAACGTGTCGGCAAGCCTGCATTTACTTTATGATTCTAACAGAGCGATATTTTATAATCTTGTTTTATTTGCCAATGAAAAGTGAAAATCAATTATATTGGAGAATTTTGGAATCTTATTAACATGATGAAGAGGTTCAAAAATTACAATTAACGGTATATCATACTCTTTCTAGTTTAGCGGCTGATTATCGTGGCTTGAACTGGTTAGAGTATGTCCTTTAAAAGACAAGGGTGACTAACCCTTAGAGAGTGTAAGAAAAGGTTGAACCTAAGACCTCTGAGTTACTAGAGACCAGACTCAACTACTGAACCACCCCTAAAAAATATATCAACTGGAGCAGCTTCACGAGAAGATATTTTTTCTTAGTACCTTTTTAAAAAAAAATATTTTCTGAACTTGTTTATGTACTTTTTTCAATATTGTTTTCTTTGGATTCTATATTTTTTTTTAGCAATGTTATTGGGACATAATTTGATAACATAATTTGGGAGCTTAATGATTGTGGCCATTAGATTATTAGTGAGTCTCAATATTAAAGTATCACTAGGTCCTAACACTATTAATCCAATGGTCATAATGTATTAACACATCTGTAGATATTCAAAAAGATAAAGACGTGAAAGAGTAAAGAAATTGGAATAGATAAATTTAGTTGGTTAAATATTGTTAGATAAAAAATTTAAGTGGTTAAAGAAAAAATTATAAATGGTTGTAAGTGGTCATCAAGAACATTGATGGATAAGCGAAATATTTTAAGAGGATATAGTTAAATATAATGATAGAAGAAATTATGGATGGTTACTATAGATAATCTATAGTTGTATAGTCATTTTCTGGGTGCACGTAACTAGCTCTCACCTGTGACAGAGTTTGAGAGACGAGTGATATATATAATTTTTTTTCTTTTCAAAAGATTAATTCTCAAACTCGAATCTACAACTCATCCTTAGGCCTGATTTGCTCAATGCTAAAATCAACCCGAGGAATAAAAGGCGATATATTTACATTGTTTTTGCAAAAAATAAAAATATTATACAAATTGTATGAATAATAAATCACTTTTGTCCAATATTCATAGAGAGGGAGAGGGAAACAAATGTAGTTCTCTGGGACTAAATTTTTTTTAGCTTGAAGCACATGCCAAAATAGACCACGAGAAGAATCAAATATATGCAATTTTACTATACACACTCAAAGATGGTACCACAACCCAAACTTATAACACCTAAACCCGTGACACTTAGGTTACAGAAATGGCACACAACAAAAAGTTGCTGATCAGAATTGAAAGCCACTAAAATTCCCACTTGCTTCCCACATTTTCACTTTCTCTGTTAGATTTGCTTTTCTCTCTTGAAAATCTCTAAGATCAGAATCTTTTATTGGAGGAGGCATGGTGCAAGGTCTTTTATTGGAAGGACTCTTCACCATGGATTCTATCATGAACTCCCTATCTAACCCTTTGGCATTGCAGGCCATTGTCTCTGAGCAGACTTCAACAGCTCCTGGAGGTACAGTGGGTTTATACTTCAAGTGCTTTGCATATTCATTCAGCAAGTGGAACATGTAGTCATATACATACTCCATCTTTAGCTCCTCCTCAATGAATTTGCTCCCTTCCTTACCAATCTCTTGTGCCTGAATCACCATGGAGTTTAAGAGAGAGAGAGAGAGATAAATAGAACACACATGATTTAACACGCACATACATGAATTTGACAATTTTCAACATGATATGTTTATTTTGTACAAAACTAATAGGTTAAGGTAAACAATTTCGATGGGTAACCCCAAAATGGCATTGTCCAAAGATGAATAAGATTGGATCAGATTAATTTCAAACACATAATTCATTTTTGCCATGACAAATGTGTGTAATTAGTCTTGTTTGAAGGAAATGCTTGATTTTTTTTTCTCATTTCTTGATAGAGTATCTCACAAATCCTTGGGGAATTAAATGATTTTTTTTCTTTATTTTGCTAGCAAAGATATCAAGTGAACTTTTGGTTTATGAAAGTTTAGTGGAAGGTAGGAGTAATTGAGAAATATTTAGGCTTCACGGGTTTTGCATATTGACTCACACGACACAAATATCTAAACGTTTAATTATATAAGTTGCATTAAGATAATCTTATACTCAATACAAACCCAAAATAATATGACACAAGTCGATTGCCACACTTGCATACATACAAACATATATAGATACATGTTAGAGACAGAAAAGTTACCTTTTCAGGATGAGTGTTTCCCCAGTCAACTGCAAATTTAACTGATTGACACTTGTCATTCTGGCTTATTGGCCAGTAGTGGACCGTAGGTAGCAAACTTCTTGTGAAGAAATCATAGTAATGAGAATTTAAGAGCAGAGTCATAGAATCACAAGCAAGAATATACTTTTCACTCACAGACCATGCAACTCCTTCTACATAGATCTTGTATCTGCATGAATTGAGCCAAAATACTAAACAATGATGAAGAGGAAGGAGAGTGTGTGTGTGTGTGTGTGTGAGAGAGAGAGAGAGAGAGTTATAAAGGCTCACCTATGTAGGCATTGGTTGGCTAAATTGGTATGCTTGAACCTGTTTCGAAACTCGTGATTCCAGTCCTGCAAAATTTTTAATAATCACTGCATGTTTTTTTTCGATATCATATCTAGAGCAATGACTTAATCAACTCGATTAGAATTGATCCACAGCAAGCTAGTGTCAATCATAACGTTTATGAACCATACTGAATAATAATTTTGATCCAATAAAGTTAATAACATTTTAAATTTCTCGATATTGTGCCGAATTTATAGCATGAATGCATGATGTTTCTTGAACCTCTGAGTCGACACAAGAAATTGGAACTCACTCACACCTTTCATATGTAATGGAACAAGAGAAGGCCTAAATAACTTTGAGGTTAAATAGTACAGTTGACCAATGTTATTCCAATATATTTTCGAAATGCAAACCTAATTTTTCTTAACAATAAGTTCATAACCACAATATTGATGACAATCATAGTACAGACATGCTAAATGGCGACCAGAAATTTGTCACTTCTTGATTTTGACTAGTTCACCTCGTCGTTTGGCTAGAACTTTTCCTTTTGCCCTTCGAGATTGTTTGAACCACACGATCGCTCACTATTTGGCTGGAAAAGATGGTCCACAAGCTTCTTCTCTTCCAGCAAGCAAGACGAGCTCATCACCACTTCTCTCCATAATAAACTTACTTGAATTCTTCTTTAGTCTTAGATGTCCTTTCATATATTCTTGAACCTTCGACATACATAATCTCCATGCATGCGTTCTTTCTCTCCCTCCCTCCCTTAGTCTTACATCTCTTTTTTGCCTTGTTTGCTTTTGGCCATTTTTGTTAGGCATTGAACCCACCTTAGGTGCTTACTAGTGTCCTCCCCTCCCTTATTGAATTATAAATGCAAGTTTTGGATATATGTAGTTAATTGCAAATTACATGTATCGTGTGGAACTTAAACTACGAGGAGGCATAAATTTGTATCTTTTCTATTGGTGTCCTACTAAACCAACGATGCTTGGGTGGAACTAGAATTTCATGGAGTAAAGTTATTACCAGGGTTTATAACCTAGCATTCCAGTCCTGTTTGTCCGTGATGTTGCACTTCATGAGGTCTTGTCTTATTGGGCTAACTCTAGCATTGCCTTAAACTAGAATTATCGGGAGTAGAGTTATTACCAAGGTATATAACCTAGCATTCCAGTCCTGGTTGTCTGTGATATTGCACTTCATGAGGTCTTGTCTGGTTGGGCTAACCCCAGCGTTGCCTTTCCAGTAAGCATAAGGTTCTCTCTCCACCCACTTGGTCTTGTGGTTGCTTTCTTCAAGTTCTTTCTTCAATGACTCCCATGGCTTTATGCTAATCTCAGGCCTGCAAAAAACAACTCAACTTTGCATTTTTTTTATTCATTTTTTTGAATCTAGACCAAATGCTTGAATTAAATTAGTTTTAGCGTAGTCTTTCCAAAATAAAATAGAAAAATTATGAATTAAGCATCCATCGATTCTTTTGGGTGGCAACCAGCACATATACTTTCATTTTAAGAGAAGATCAAGTGACTTCCCTTTTTTAGAGGTCATAAAGGGAGGCTTACGAGTAAGAGTAGGAATATCTATTAGTCCGTATTGTCGGTCTATTTAGATCATTGTGTTTGAAGGTTTGGCTGAAACCCTAGTCACAATTTGGCAAGAATCCAAACATTTATAATTAATTTGGTACTTTTTTATTTTTCAAACAAAGGCAGCCATGCTTGATCTTCATATTTTATGATTGAGATCATAGCTAAACGGTTTTTTTGAAAAAGTATCATAGAGTCAAATAAATTGGTTTTACTTGTTACGATTTGGACGAAAACTATTTAATTATGTTGTAATACAACTTTTCAATGTCTATAACATGTAGTGTGGAAAAAAGTGATAGTTGAGGAGAAATAAAAAAATAAATTATAGTTGAAGATGTAATATACAAAATATAATAAATAATTGTTAAATTAGTCATACTAACGTGAAAAACTTGATAATCGAGAAAAAAACAAGAAAATGGCTTACCAACCCCAGAAGGACCAGTCAGGGAAAATCAAGTCCAACGATGAGTCATCACCACAGTAATGGAACATCGGCGGTGCTTTTCCGGCATTCACCCCTCTGTAATCCTTTTTTCTGATCACCGGCCGGTCGCCACATCCGAACATCAAATCCAAGTCCGGCAACTTCCCCGGGTACAGTCTGAGAAGCTGCAATATACCCCACACTGTAAACACATCTCTTGTTTGAAAAACGCCCCTATATTTCTCCATATAAACCCTTCCATTCACAACCACAATTCTAATGTCTGCAACAGATTTTCCACTTTCCACTAAGTCCTTGGAAATTCCGTTGCTTTTCCTCCATGGCTCTAGATCTTGATAGATCCACCGGAAGTATTCCGGGCAGGCCTCGGATGATGATGATGAATAGTCGGGTTCGTGTCGTGTCGGGTAAGTTTTTGGGCATGTTTGTGTGGTGTTATGATCAGCGGAACAATTGAGTGAGTATCCGTGGTTTTTTTGTGTACTATTGTGACTTTCTGCTGAGGTTATAAGTGCCTTCTGAGACGAAGCACCTGGAAAAATAGACTGGATAACAAACCAACAATTAAAAACGGTTATACTTCCATTTCTAAATAGTTTTTTTCTCTGTGTGGGTTCGACCCTCAATCATTAGTGTCTCTTGAATTTAACTGATAGATGTGATTTGTAAGTGATTATAGATATCCGGGGTATACTCTCGCAAAATAGGTTGAGTTACTTTCTTGTCGTGTCCAAAAACTTTCTTTATTCTTATTCGAAAAAGACTCTCTAGCTTAATGCGTTAAGTTGGAAGTAGAGTTTCTGAGCTTGAAGCTTTAGGAGATAACTACTCTAACCTAGTTGAATCTTGATAACTCTTTGGACTAGGTCATGAGAGATTTATCTTTCAAGAATACTCTAATTTCTGCGTAGATGAACTCTCTTTGATAGATTAGAGAGAAAATTAGTTGAGGTGCATATAAACTTATCCGAACACCTTTTACCGTTGAACAAAAAAAAAAAAAAAAACTTTGACTCAGTTTAAAGGCACCCTTTCTTGAATTATTTAAAGAAAAGAAAAAACGGAAAAAAAATTGAAAACCATGATCCAGAAAGACTAACCATGTCTACCCAACTGGTGGCAATAAGGGCACTGATGACGAAGATTATTAAAAAGAGGGCGACACTTATTGCACCCTTCTTCTTGAGTTCTTGGCCCATTTTTGTTGACCAAATTGCTTGAGCTCCTTGCAGCGAAGATCCATGATCTGCATGAACTGTAAGAAATTCTTCCATGACAAACTTTTTTTTCTTCTTACATCTATCTTCCGATGACCGGAAAATCTTTATTTTTTTTTTTTCAGATCATAAGCATGTTCATGATAATAGTACTAGGATTGTAGCGTACCTGCATCCATACATAGAGAGAGAAAAAGAACTCGATCGGCAATTTTGTGGGAGATGGTCTTCTAGTGTATTCCACTAATCTGTAGTTCATGAGTCTCCATGTTCATGTCATCAGCTATTGACTATTTAATATGGATCAACCTATAACAAGAGACAAATAATCAATGCAATAGTAGAAGGGTGATTGTCTACATAATAAAAGAATATGGAAAATGGAGAGGAGTTTTAATAAGCTGTTGAATGGACCATTTTGCATAAGCAACGTAAGTCTTACCAGATCAGAATTAAGGATGTTGATATCAACTAAGACTCACCGTTCAAATGTGTCAGCAAGCCCTACATTATGATTCTAACAGAGCGATATTTTATCATCTACCTCTATTTGCCAATGAAAAGTGGAAATCAATTCTATTGGAGAATTCCGGAATCTTATTGCTAGTTCTGTCATTATCATTGAAAAGACAAAATTGCTATTCGTGAACACATGGTGTGCCGCGGACACAAAGTTGGGAGGAAAAGAAGTGAGAGAAAATGGCAATAATTCATATTTGATTACAACAGATCAAGAAGGCACAGCTTAGCTTCATGTTTACGGCCCAAAGTGGCACCCAAAGGTCTCCATTAATGCCAAAAAAACTCCACAAGGTAAAGTAGACTTGTCCTAATCAGTCTAATGATTTTGGCATTTTTTCATGAAAATCTAGGACAAAAAACTATGGTGGTAGTCAACGGAGCCATTGGTGGGCTAAAACCCAGGGTAAAAACAATTTTTTTTTTTATTAGAGTCAACCCAACCCAACCCAACCCAACCCAGCCCAACCTAGAGCAACAATTTTTTTTTTTATTAGAGTCAACCCAACCCAACCCAGCCCAACGTAGAGCAACAACTACCTGTAACACAATCACTTCTCCCAAAATCAGTCTCTTCTCTCTTCAAACGGCTCTCTCTTAGTTTCTTCTCTCAGTCACTTCCTCCAAAATCACGCCGAATACATGCTGACAGTATCTTCTCTCTTAGGCGGCCAGTCACTTCCCCCAAAATCATGCCAGACTCTTCTCTCTCAGGTTCCAACATCAAAGCAAACACCCTCCCCCATCCCTCTTCTGCGCAAACACCATCTCTTTCAGGTTACCACTCTCGCGCGCGTCCATCCCCAACAAGTACGATTCATCACCTCCTCCTCTCCCCTCTTTGTTTGGTTTTGCTCTTCGTTTCCATATGTCTGTCTCCCTGCCTCTATTTGTTTGGTTTTGCTCTTTGTTCAAATGCCCACAAACTGTTCGATCAAATGCCCCTGAATCACACACATATCTGCTGACTAACACCAAAATGCTGAATCTACTTCCAGATGCTTAATTTGGGAAATTTACCCTCTTCTGTGTAGTTTTATTAGCCTCAAATTAATTCTTGTTTGGTTCTGGTGATCATCGGTATAGTTCTTTTAGGTTGGTGGGTGATGCGCGTGAACATAATGAAATGCTCTATCAACTATAGTGTTTAATCTTATGAGTTGGCTAAAACAATATCCCCCGCTGAAAAACCATGGCCAATTCTTATTTCCATTTTCCTGTGTTCACTAAGAGGACATATTTCAATATTCCGGCAAAGATACACAAAAGTGCAATTGTAAAAATATGAGCTGTCAATTTTTCCCTTCATTTTTATTTTCATTTTTGCTCTCTTGTATTTTATAAGATGATTTCTTGGTGGTAAAACATAATTTTCAGTTTTCATATAGAAGCAAATAGTTTTGTGATGTGTAACATTTTGTACAAGAAGTCTCATCACTAGTTTTTCCCTGGTTGTTTCTTTTGTTTTTTTCACCGATCACTTGAATATGACTTTTTGTCATAAAAATCAGCTTAGAAGAAAATTGCGGTCGTGACATAAGTAGTGTTGGGATTGAAAGAGAAACGGAAATCAATTGTTTGATCCCCTGCATTTACTTATACTGATTGCCATCGTTTTTGTCAATGGCCCATCTCCCATTGTATGCTATACATCCTACAGAACAAAAGCATGCTCTTACAATTGGTTTTATCATTTTTATGAACTAGGAGAACTTAGAGTTACTTTTATGTAGGGGATGAGTGTTATATGCATTTATATACCTGCTGCTATGTTCTACTTTGCCATGAAACTACGAGTGGCTTTATTGTGTGTGCCATGGTTGCTTAGTTTTGATGGACAAATTTGTTGTTGTATCAGCATGGTTCTGGACCTGTTAAGTCTTATTTCTTTATATACTTTTACTAATATGGCTAGATTAGTTCTGTTATACAGTGCTTACATCGATCATACTTGCATTCCAACTTTTATGGCATAAAATGGATTATGAATAATGCTCTTATTCTACTATTTTGTCATGATGCTGGCTGATCCTTCAGTTGACATGTTTCAACGACAAAGACTGTACCAAGATAATATTCTGATATGGTCCATGAGGAATGATATATATCTTTAAGTCCTTTATTGTACATCCTTGTACATTCACAAACATCTATATATACGTTAGTTTTCTTTGTTAGCCTACAGTGGCTACCATAGAAGTAGGGAAAGACATAGCCTTGGCCAATAAAGAGACCTTAATTGCTGTCAGTCTTTTTGTCCTTCCTCTTGTGCACAAGCATAAAGTGAAAATTCTTCCTGTCGATTCAGAACAATATTTGTTTCCTAATGCATTTGTACTTGTATTTTTAATACTTTAATACCTTGTCTCCTTGATCATATATTCAGACGTTATTTGGGTTGTTTCTCTAATATTTAGTCATTCTCTACTTTATTAGGATGGGAAATCAAGAACGAAAAAGAGCAAAAATAATTTTTTCGTTCTTCAAAAAGAAAAGTGGAAAAGAAACATCAAATTCTACTCTTGAACCTTTGTGTCTAGTAAAAACATCAGCAAGTGTTGATGTTCTTATAATTCCCGCGACTGTTGAATCTCAAGGCCCTCAACCTCAAACAAAAGGACCAATGATTCCTTTTGATGAGAATGAAATTGAACGAGATCCTGCATTGCGTATTCTGATTTGAAAACATCCTGCTTATAATCAAGATGAAGTTAGACGTGCTTATATAAAGTGGGGACAAAATCAACTTATCTTGGCAGAGTATCCGATGACTAAAACTAGAGTTCAAAATTGAAAATTTCAAAAAAATTGGTACAAAAAATTTCCATGGCTAGAGTATTATATTTCAAACGATGCGGCATTTTGCTTTCCATGCTTTGTTTTTCAGGGTCATGAACTCATACATCTTGCATTTACCATTGATGGTATTAGTAGTTGGAAGAGAGTGAATAATGTGGCCAAATGTGTTTTCTTGTCACATATGAGAGGTCCTGCTTCCACACATAATAATGTTGTGAGAAATGTTGAAGCGTTGAAGAATATGTCAGTATACATTGATAAAGTTATGAATGTTCAAAGTTCAGAAGAAATAAAGAGAAATCGATTGCGTCTTAAGGCTACCATTGATAGTGTTCAATGACTTACTTTACAGGGATGTGCCTTAAGAGGTCATGATGAATCTGTAATGTCAAAGAACCGTAGTAATCTAATTGAAATGATTAGTTTGATAACAAAGTTGAATGTTGAGATAAATGATATTATCTTAGAGAAAGCTCCAAGAAATGCAAAATATACGTCTCCTTTGATCCAAAAAGATATTTTGTATATTCTAGCTACTAAAGTAAGAGAAAAAATCCGTGAAGAAGTTGAAAATGCCAAGCTTTGTATTTTAGTTGATGAAACAAAGGATGCATCGATTAAAGAACAAATAACAATTGTTCTGAGATTTGTTGATGTTCAGGGTTTTTTGCAGGAGAGATTTTTTGAGATTGTGCATGTTAAAGATACCACTTCTTTAATTGTTAAGAAGAAAATATCAAAAGTTCTTACTTGACACAATTTGCACATTCGAGATTTACGAGGTCAATGATATGATAATGCTAGCAACATGCGTGGTGCATTTAATGGATTGCAAACTTTGTTCCACAATGATTGTGAGTATGCATACTACGTTCATTGCTTAGCTCATCGTTTACAACTTGCATTAGTTGCAACTGTTGAAGATGAGATTTCAATATGACAATTCTTTTCCAAATTGACATGCATTGTCAATCTTATTAGTGCTTCTCCTAAGTGTTATACAGAGCTGCGATCTGCCCAAGCTATTGAGATTGAAAAGGGGATAACTAGTGGTGAACGAGAGATTGGTAAAAGGGCCAATCAGATGGTACTTTGCATCGAGCTGGTACTACTCGTTGGAGCTCACATTTTGAATCCATTTGTGGTCTGATAGATATGTACAATGCTATTATTAGTGTGTTTGAATGTATGGTTAATAAAGGATCTTCAAATACAATTCGTGGGGAAGTTGGTGGTTCTTTAATGACAATGAAGTCCTTCGATTTCATATTCATTTTGCATCTTATGCACAAGATTATGGGGATTACGGATATGCTTTGTCGGGCATTGCAGTATAAATCATTAGATATTTTGAATGCAATGAATTTAGTCTCATCGACAAAATCATTGCTTCAAACCTTGCGAGCAAAAGTTTTTGATTATCTCCCTGATCATGTGAAATCAGTTTGTATGAAATTTGATGTCGATATACTTGATATGAGGACTCAGTTTAAAGGGGCAAGACGTTCATGTCAAGAGAATGATAACATTACAGTTGATCATCACTCTCATATGGACATATTTACTACTACGATTGATCATCAGTTAGAAGAGTTACATAGTAGATTTAATGAAAAGACAATGTAATTGCTTATGCTCAATTCTGCTTTAGATCCTCAGGACAACTTTAAATCTTTCAATCTTGATTACATTTGTTTAAAGGGGCAAGACGTTCATATCAAGAGAATGATAACATTACAGTTGATCATCACTATCATATGGATATATTTAATACTACGATTGATCATCAGTTAGAAGAGTTACATAGTAGATTCAATGAAAAGACAATGTAATTGCTTATGCTCAGCTCTGCTTTAGATCCTCAGGACAACTTTAAATCTTTCAATCTTGATTACATTTGTTTACTTGCTGAGAAGTTTTATACAACTGATTTTGATAGACAAGACATGTATCATTTGAAATGTCAACTGGATCATTATCGATTTGATGTGGTTTGCCATGAGAGGTTTGAAAGTATGTCTAAAATTTCAAAATTATGTCGTGATTTAGTAGAAACAAATAAGGCAGAATCCTATAATTTGATTGATAGGTTGATTCGTCTTA